GGTTTTTTTTTTTTATGGGGGGGGGGCCCCCTTTTTGGGCGGGGGGGCCCCGCCCCTTTTAAAAACCTTGGGGGGTAAAAAAAAGGCCCCCTTTTTGGGAAAGGGGGGGGGGTACACCCCCCAAAAACTTTTTTTTTTTCCCCCCCCCCCCAAAAAAAAAAAAAAAAAAAAAAAAAAAAAAAAAAAAAAAAAAAAAAAAAAAAAAAAAATTTGAAATGGGGATATTTTTTTTTTTGATAATTTTTTTTTTTTTTTGATAAAAAAAGATGATCATCCCCATGAAACAACTTTTTTTTTTTTTTTTTTTTCATTTCGCATAAAAAAAAAGGTTTTTTATCCCCCCCAACAAAAAAATTTTATTGGGGGGGATAAAAAAAAAAAAAGGATGTATGAATAATAATATTTACTTTTTTACAATGGTCGAGTCTTGCCCAATTTTCTTTATCTTTTTTTGAAACTGCTGTTGGTTTAACTGTGGCAAATTTGTTAACCTTTGGATTTAAAGCTAAAATTTCAATATCGTGTACTTGGGAAACATCGCCTGTGTGTGTCATTTTTTAATTTATTATATATATATTTATTAGAATACAAATATTTTTTTTAAAAAAAATTAAATATTATTATTAATTGTTTATTATTATTTTATTGTTTAATATTTTTATTATTAAATTATTTTATTTTATTATGGTATTTAAATTAGAAAAAAAAAAAATAATTAGTTATTTTTTTTTTTTCTTTTTCTCTCTTTTATATATTTTATTTTTTAAATTTAATGATAAAAAAAAAAAAATTTTCAATTTCTTTTTTAATATTGTATTTTTTAAAAAAAAAAAAAAAGAAAAAAAAAAAATACAAAATTATTATAATTACCCACCCATGCCCACTGGTGTATTAAATCACAAACAAATATCTTTAAATAATATGAAAAAAAATTAAAAAATTAAAAAAATTAAAAAAAAAAATAAAAAAAAAAATAAAAAAAAAAATTAAATTAAAAATTTAAAAATTTGATATTATTATAAATAAATATTTTATAATATTCAATTTCTCTTTTTTTATCCTATATAATACCTTTTGGATTTTTTTTTTGTTAATATACTAAAAAATACATGTAAACATATTCATATTGGTAGCATTAAGTAGTATTAAATATATAATCTACGATAAAACAAATAAAAAAAAAAAAAAAAAAAAAAGATATTTATATGTTTATACTTGGTAATTTTTTATTTTTATTTACAAATTATAGTTTTATTTTTTTTTTTAATATTATTATTTTTTTTTTTTTTTTTAAATCTGAGGAGTTCCTTTAACTAAATTTAATTTTTAAAATTTGATCATTATTAAAATCTACACGGGTCATTAAAATTTTTTGGACTTCTGATGAAGAAAGTTTAAAAGTGGGTGAGTTGCAATTTTCTTGCCAATAATCCTCAGCTTCGGATAAAGACTCTAAAATCAAAAAGGATGCAATTTGGTTTAATTTACTAAATTTATCACGAATTGTAGATTTTGAAATTTTGGTGAAATAAGTGGAAATTGATCTAAGATCTTTACCAAATTGAAGGCCACCCAATAAAGTAAATTTCTTTTGCTGAATCGATTGTTCAATCTTTTTTAAGAGGAATTGAATGGTTAAATGAACTATTAGATCATAATTAGAGTCCGATAGGGGCTCTTGAAATGGTTTTAAAAATTGAGAACACTCTAATGTGAATTCTAAAACAAATGGATCATTGATATCATTGTTATCGTATTCAGATTGCGAGATTTCATAGTTTACTTGTGAGAATCTAAATAAAAGGTTCTTTAGTTTTGGTTGTACACTTTTGAATAATGAGTCGATTTCATCTTGTAATAGTTTACTGTATGATTTTGAGCAATTTGAAAATTCATTACTAATGATTGCAATTTGATCACGATCGTTTTGTTGTTGTTTCTTTAGTTCTTCAGCAAAAATTTTATTTATTTCATTTTGATAGTCTGGAATGGATGTTGATTGTTGATCTTGTTGTTGATCTGATTGTTTGTCTTGTTTGATTTGTGGAAAAACTTTTTGGCATTTTAAATCAAATTCTTTTTTTAATCTTACTATATATTCAGACGAGGTTTCGATATTGTTTAAAACAAATAGAGATGATTGGTAGTCGAAATTTGATTTATTTGATGATTTCATCATATGGTCATTAAATATTCTTTTTAGATTATCTCTTGTTTGATTTAAAATTCTAACAAGACGATTACTAATAACGTTGAGGGTTTGGATACTGTGGGAATCAATGGATCTTTGAAGTGATTTTTGAAGTACGAAAAATATAAAATCAATCATACTGTTGCCATTATCTTGTTCATTTGTATTGGATGAGGAGTTATTTAGTGACGATTGCAAGCTTGATGTAGGTGTTGACGATGCTTGTGTTTCGCTTGAAATATTCATTTGTATAGCTTTGTTTACACTTTCCACCATGAAATACTCTTCTAAAATTATGTAGTTGCCTAAAAGTTGATTCATTTTTTGTTTTGTAACAGTAGAGTATAGAGTTTGTTTCATTTGTTTATTCTTCTCTTCATTTAATTTATTGATTGCCTCTCTTTCTTTTTTCTCTTTTTCTAATTGTTGCTGCTTTAATAATTGCTCATTTGGAGAGTTTGAATAGTGGGATGGTGATGCTAGTATTATATTTTGAATATTATCTTGTCTTTCTTTTTCTAATAAGCTATAATGTTCATAGATTTTAGATTTGATAAATTGTTCTTTTTTGATGAGGAACTTTTCATAAAATTTGGTAGATTTACTAATCATTGAGGTTTCATCGAGGAATTGAGCAAAATTACGTGGATCGGTCTTTTCAACAGATCCTTGTCTACTGTGATGATGAGGGTCTTGCTTCTTGTCTAATTGTTGTTTATAGGTAGTAACATCTGTTACGTTTTTATTTGCTTGAAATTGATCTTGAAAAGCATTATATACAGTATTTGAATAGTAGTCACACTGTTGAGTGATGTTCATAATAAATCTTGAGCATTGTAATACCCCAAATTCCTTTAGTATCTCTGGAAGCTCATCTTCGATAATATTTGCATAATGTTCAAAAACCTTCATAATTACACCAACAGCACTTATCGGTTTAATTTGTTTTGGGTTGAGGATATATGAATGATAATGAGTTAGCATTGCATCTAGTTTCGATGTGTGGGATTTAAAGTATGCACAATATTTATCAATGGCCTCTGTGCTTCTTCCAAGTGGAACATATAATCTACAGAATCTTAATACACCACTCTTGTCACTATTTTTCAAAGATGCTTGATAGTTGTTTTCAATCATTTCGAGGAGTCTTTTTTCAGCAGCTGCAAGTTTCTCAATGGAAGAATCTTCTAATACTGATTTGTCAATACTAAGATATCTATTTATAAATTGAGCTGCACCTTCATAGTCTTCTTTATTGATGGCTTTTTGTACACCTTCTATACAATTCTTTAAATCTATGATATCATCGACTTTTTTTAGGGTATCTTTAATTCTTTCTCTAATATGATCTAGTTTCTTAACTTTAGATGATAGATTTTCTGCTAATTCACAAGTACTACTAATTCTTTGATTTAATTCGTTAGATTTCTTTAATGATAGTGACAAATATTCTCTAGTTTTTAAATATTGGTTAATTAGCATATATTTTAATTGTGAAATATTTAATTAAAATAAAATTAAAAATATAAAAATAATGTATATTTTATTTTATTTATTTTATTTTTAAATATTTTTTTTTTTAATTTATTTATTTATTTATTTAATTTATTTTTTAATGCATACATACGGTATTTCAATGTCAAAACTTTCCATTTGAGTTTCTAAATCATCTTTAAAATTTATATATTGTTTTAAATTTTGTTCTATCACTTTGTCTCGAACAATTAAATTTTGTAAATGTTTCTTTGCATCTTCAATTGTTAAATTGCCATCCAAGTCTTTTAGGTCTACTGTATAATCATTATTATTATTAATATTATTATTATTATTTAAAATATTGGTAGTGGGGATGTTGGAATTATCTTCATAATTATTTTTACTATTGATTGTGTGAAGATTTTTGTTGTTTTGATTCACCATTAATTAAAAAAATGGAAATGGGTGTTTATTTTGATTAAAGAAAAAAAAAATTATTTTTTATTTTTTATAATTTTTTTTTTTAAAGCATTTTTTTTTATATTTTTAAAATTTTTTTTTATTTAAAAAAAATTAATTAAAAAATAAAAAAATTTAATTTTTTTAATAAAAAAAAAAGTTCAATTTTGTTGTTATTGTAACTATTTATATACATTAATTTATTAGAATAAAGAGATAATTATAAATAAACACCTTTTTTAATATTTTTATATTTATATATATATTTTTTTGGTTTTTTATTTTTTTATGAATTGTTTTTTTTTAAACCAAATTTTTTTTATTTTTTTAAATTAAAAAAATAAAAAAAAAACCCCCAAGTTATCATAAATTATACCTCTTAATAAATTATAATTATAATTTAAAATAGTTAATAAACAAATATTGTAAATGTATATAAATAAAATTTTTTTGTAGAATTAAATAAAAATAAACTCATTGTAATAACAGTAGTGGTGATTGTATTTAATAGACCACATACAACCATAACACAGAATAACACAACACAACCCTCACACACACACACACAAATACATAAATACACACATACACACATTGTATATAGAATTTTAATTATTTATTTTAATTAATAAATAAGTAACCACAAAGATTAAATAGAAAACTATTTAAATAGTAGTAGTAGTAGTAATAACCACTAGTAGTAATATTAGTGATAGTAAAGTTAGATATTCAGTAAAAGATGATAGAAATAGATGATGATTATATTTTATTAAAGCAAATTGGCGAGGGAAGTTTCGGAAAAGTTTTTAAAGTAAGTTTTCAATTGAGTATAAAAACCATTTAATTATATCGTAACAAAATGGATACTAATATTTCAATTTTTATTTTTATATATTATAGTATAGAAAAAAGTTTACAGGCCAAATTGTAGCATGCAAAGTAATTTCTAAAAAAGGAAAAAATGAAGAGGATATTTTGTCATTAAGACAAGAAATCGATATTTTGAAGAACCTTAAACATCCAAATATAATTCAGTTTATAAGCTCATTTGAAAATAAGAGTGAATTCACATTGATAACTGAATATGTAGAAGTATGTATCATGTTTTTATTTTATTATATTATGATATTTAAAGCTCTAACAATTTTATTTTCTTTTTATAGAGTGATTTATCACACATTTTATTAGATGAAAAGAGGTTACCGATTGAAGCAGTACAAAGTATATGCTTTCAAATGGTGAAAGCTTTAAATTATCTTCATCACAAAAAAGTCATACATAGGGATATTAAACCACAAAATATTTTAATAACTGCAAATGGGCAAGTTAAAATTTGTGATTTTGGTTTTGCAAAAACATTGTCATCAAATTCAACTATGCTGTCATCTTTAAAAGGAACTCCTTTATATTTAGCTCCAGGTATGTATTTAATTTTAAATATTTAAAAGTTTTAAAATTTAATATTAAAATAAAATTTTTATTGTTTTTATTTTTTTTAGAAATTATACAAGAGCAACCCTATGATTATAAAGCAGATTTATGGTCACTTGGTGTTATCTTATACCAAATTTTAGTTGGGGAGCCACCATTTTTAGCAAATAGTTTATGTGAATTAGTACAAATGACCTTAGAGACAACTATTGACGTACCATTGGAGTTTCATAAATATCCAGAGTTAATGTCACTCTTCAAAATCCTTTTGTGTAAAAACCCAGACAAGAGAGTTGGATGGCCCGAGCTTTCTCTTCACCCTTTTGTCAAATCATTTAATGAAAATAATATTGGTAATGCATTTAAACAAATTAGTATTGGTAGTAATAGTCAAAATAGTAGTATGGATTTTTCGTCTGGCTTAAATGTACCATTATCTTTTTCCATTAGTAACGATGGTATAGTTTATAATTATAATAATAATAATAATAATGTTAATAATGGTAATAATAATAATAACAATATGAATAATAACAATAGCAACAATATGAATAATAACAGTAATATTATGAATAATAATATGAGCAATATGAATAGTAATAATAATAATAATAATAATAATAATAATAATGTGAATTATAATAACTATACAAATAATAATAACAATAATAATGGTATGAATAATAACTCTGTTGTTGGTAATGGTTTAATGATGAATAATAGCAATGGCAATATTAATTTACACCAGCAGCAACAACAACAACAACAATACCAATTATTTTTGCAACAACAACAACTCCAACAACAATTACAAAATCGTATATCACCACCTCAAACTCCAATAATACCATTACAAATGCAAAAACAACAACAATATCAACCACCGCAACCATCAACACCACAAAATTTTAATCCAACTTCACCAAATGGTAGTTTTAATATGGTAAATGGTATTTCTATTCCCATATTAAATGGTATTTTTAATCAGCCGCAATCAAATTCTATTACATCTCCTAGTAGATATCCACCAACATCACCTAAACAACCACCATTACCATCACCGAAATTAGTATCACCAAAACCAAATTCCCAACCTCCACCATCACCCAAGGTTCCACCATCACCTCGGGTTATTCCCCCCCAATCACCCCGAGTAACCTCACCAAGAATGAACCAGTCCCCAAAGAATTCTCCAAGGGCAATATCTCAACAACCACCAAGTCCGGGCCCCTCTCCAAGAAAATACTCAATTAAAATTCAAAATATTGGTTCATTAAATTCAACAAAGTCTTTCCCTATGATATCTAGTAATCTAAACAATTTAAATGACATAATTGTAAAATCAATAGAAAATCAAAACAACACTAATAATAATATTAATAATAATAGCAGTAATAATATAAACAATAGTAATAATAATATAAATAATATAAATAATATTAATACACCGAACTCAAATAATAATATTGGCATGAATAATCTAAATAACAACAATGGTGAAAATAATATTTTTAATAATAATAATATAAGTAATAATAATATTAGTAATAATAATATTAGTAACAATAATATCAGTAATATGAGTAACAATAATAGCAATGATGGTAATAATATGATTAATAATAGTAATAATAGACCCACATCCAGTGATGGCATTAATTTTATTAATAATAATTATAGACCTTCATCGAGTGAAGGTATAGGTTACAGCAATAGTAACAACAATGGTAACAATTATATTAGACCAATATCGGGCGATGGTAATATATTGGCCTATAGTGGTAATATTAATAGGCCACTATCAAGTGACAGTAATACTTCAGGTTATTTTTCAGAAGACCCAAGCAAAAATAATGTTCAGAGACAATTACAACAACAACAACAACAAATCCGGGAACAACAACACCAAATTCAACAGTTACAACATCAACAACAAATTCAAATTCAACAACAACAACAAATCCAACAACAACAACAAATCCAATTACAACTACTACAACAACAACAACAACTATCAATTATTCAACAACAAAATGTAGCCCAAACCAATAATGTCGTTGTTGCCACATTAAATAATAAAAAACCACCAACACCTTTAACTAGACCACAAACTCCAACATCATTTAGACCACAAACTCCACAATATAGATCATGTACACCTAAAACACCTCAACCAATAAATACACCAAGTAGAGGAAATTTACAATCAAATAGTTTTATTCCACCATGGTCAAATTTATATAATCAAATGCTAACAAATAATAGTAATAATAATGAGCCAAGTCATAGTAATGGTTATTATGGTAATATTGGCTCAACAAGTAATAGTGGTGTTGGTAGTAATATTGGTGGTAGCGGTAATAGTTTCTCAATAATAAATAACAATGAAAGATTATTAGAAGAGATAAGCGAATATAGTGAATCGTTGGAAACATTCGAATTTTGGATATATCACGAGTCTATTTCAGGTAAATCTGAAGAAACTGCATCAAAGCTTCGTTGTGATAAAATGTTTTTACTTAAAATTTTTGGCCATCTAACTGCAGCTTCAACAAATTTAATTGATAAACTACCAATTGGTTTAATATTAAAAACATTTTCAAATTTAATGCTCTATGGTACTTCAAATGTCGTTTTCCAATCATCTAACCATAATGGATTGTTTTCAAATATTGGTAATAAGTCACCACCTCAAACACCACCCCTATACCCATCTTCAAACATTAATAATATCAATGGAAATATTAACAACTCGTCAGAGATATACAAGTTTTCAAATTTCCATCTTTTGGTTAATATATTATCAAACATTTTAGCATCAACCATTGTTAACATTCATACTGTAAATATTAATAACCTTAGTAGTGGTAACTTGAATAATCTTTTATTAAATAATCCATATACAAATTTATTGGACTGTTTAAACACAATTACCATCTTTTTGGACACAGTACCATCACTTTTATCACTATTTAACCCAAACCCACCATCATCCCCTTGTCCAACATCACCAAATACAAATAACCCTCCTGGCTCTAGCGGTAGTAAAAGAGGCGGTACACCAAACCAAATGAATAATCAAATTAACAATCAAATTACTTTTTTCCTATCAATTTTAAACCATCTAACTAAAAATATTTATGTTTACAACCAAGGTATTCAGATTGCCGTCATCAAAACAATTACAAGTTTCTTTTCTAAAATGGGTGATAATCCATTGCAATTTGGTGAAACTTACAAAAAAATTATTGAACAATCAGAAATTCTTCAAAATATTTGCTCTTATCTTTTATTACTATTAAATCAATCAGCAAACAACAACAAAACCTCACCCACTTCAAATAACTCCCATAATATCGAAAAAGAAATTGAAGTTATCATTAAATGTTTCCATAAAATTCTCTATACATCACCCACCAATGTTTTTGAATTCCCAGCAGAAGCAAAGAGATTCCATCAAATTCCAAATAGTTCCCAACCATATCTTTCAAATTATTATCAGGCTTGTTTAACTATTGGTGATTCATTATCGAATGACACTGTAATGAACTTTTTCCTTTGTTCATTATACTACTATCCTCATCTTCGTACTTCTATTCTTCAAATTCTTTTACATTGCTCAAGAGGCTCAAAATCGTTTGTAGATTCAATTCACAGGGAAGAAAAGATTTTAGTCTCTCAAGATGATACACCAGTTGTCTTAAACTTACCAAACTATATTAAACCAAGATCTCTCTTTGATTATTTATCAGTGAAAGTGTTATCAAACGACGAGGAAAATGAAGAGGAACAAGATGAAGAAAGTAAAGAGTCAAGGGAGTCAAACTATCCAATAGAAGATCTTAATGTATCTCCTGAACAAAAATCTATTATTTTCTTAATTTTAGGCTCTGTTTTAATTCATGCTAGGGAAGCCATTGATTGGATGATCCATTACGACTTGGTTGATTTATCAAAGAGATATTTCCAAAATACTGATATTAGAATTTCATCATCAGCAAGTTACTTTTTAAGTGGATTTTTAACTGTTTCAATTAATTTCGAAAGAGAACTTATTAGTAGCGAAGAAAATATTAACAAAAATAAAAATAATAGCAATAGTAATGATAATAATGACGAAGAAGATAACAGTAAAAACGAAAAGTTTTATATTACAATCATTATTGATAATGTTATCGAACAACTACCAATTAAAAGTATAAGAAAACTATTTAGCTCAAGATGTATAGAAGGTAAAACAATGAGAGAGTTAGAAGGTGGTTGCTTTGGTAGACCAAATATTGGATTACTCGATGGCTCAGCATGCTTATTGCTAAGAATGTTAAAAAGAGGTGGCCAAGAATTTTTAGACGATATGCTAGAAAGTGGTATTTGGGAATCTTTGTGTCATCAAATTATTTCAACAACTAGTGACCCAGAGCTCAGCCCATATGGTGTTATTCATACACTAAGAATTGTTTATGAGGTCCTATCAAGTGATCCAAACCATATTCCATACCTAGTAAAGAATAGTCTTTTAAATTCATTATGCAGTCTTTTGGAGTCATCTCATTTAGAAAGACTCAAGGATTGGCCATCGGTCCAGATGGGTGGAGGTAATGGTGTTGGTGCTCTTGCCACTCAAGTTATATGCGTACTTTATTTACCTCTCTCCACCAATGCCAAAGAAATTATTGATCGTTCAATGCAGGAGCTAATTCAACATATTATGGTTTCACAAGAATTGGTTCGTAATATTGTTCACATGTTTCCAAACTTACCAAGTGACCAGATTGATCTCCCATTGGGATTGTTAGCAAATATCATTTTAGAAGATCCACAATTTAGTTCACAGTTTGTAGAGTTTGGTGGATTGGAACCAAATGTTATTCATTTACTATTAAATCAAGATAAAAACCCAGATAAAACTTCCGCAAATCAATGTACAGTAGATTCTTTAATTATCCTTTCACAATTGGCAAGAGTTTCACCAGAAAACTATAAAGCAATACATAAATCTGAAATTTATCATCACTTAAAGAAACTACTTATTCATCCAGACCCATCTGTAAGAGCTAAAACATGCAATCTACTTGGTAATATGTTCAAATACAATAGCTATTTCTATCCACATATAAGGAAAAGTACAATTCTTCCTATTTTAATTGGTAGATGTGTGGATGTCGATATAAACACCAGAAAATTTGCATGTTTTGCTCTTGGTAATGCTGCATTCCATTCAAGCGAACTCTATGACGAATTAGAAGAATCCATCCCAATTTTAAATAGAATTCTAAATGATGAATATCCATTTGTTTCTAGTCTAATGGGTAACAACAATATGATAATGACAGTAGAGAACTATCAAGAGCAAATATTACAATCCCCAGATGATGACGAAAAAACAAGATCAAACGTAATTGGTGCTTTAGGCAATTTAGTAAGAAACTCAGGACAACTTTGTCAAAAAATGATAGAAGTAGATGTTTTAAAATCTTTGGTAGGATGTCTAGTTAGATTTGGTACCAATCTAAGTCTCTTAAAGAGTATTCTCTTTACAATAGGTAACTTTTGTATTTATAACCAATGTAAAGCCATTTTAGCAGAATTAGGTCTAGATTCACTTTTAGATCAATTATTATTGTTATTAGACCAAATGAAAAATCATCACCAACAACAAATTAACATTAACCAACATTCAGAAGTTTTAAAAAATATTAACAGAATTAAAAAAATGTTATATCCCCAAAACTTTAAATAAATCTTTTATCCAAAACTATAATTTTTTTAATAATAAATTGTATCAAAAAATATAATTGTTTTTTTTTTTTGAGATTGTTTGATCTAAACTGAACTGATAGTTTCAATATAATTGTCGCACCAATTTCACCAAATAAAACAAAAAAAATTAGATTGCTTTAAATCTAAATTGATCAAAGAAAATGGAACAGTGATTTAAAAATCTCAAACCTTATTTTCTCATATATGGTACCACTTTCATTGATGATATTGACAAGAGGGTCGGAATTACAAATGCTTCAAAAGATATCATTTATATCCCAGATCTTCGTTCAATAGTAATGCCATTGAAACTGCTTCAGTATATATTGAGAATTTACCCCTCCTCAGAAAGGAGTCAACAAAATTGCCAAACAACAAATTTTAAAATAAAAATAGTAATGAAGCAAGGTAAACCATAAAAAAATAATTAAAATAAACAATATTTTTTTTTTTCTATAATACTTTTATTGTTATTTTAATATATAAAAATAATGGTGCAATAATAAATTATTTTTTTTTAAAATTTGAAATAATTAAAAAATTTAAATTACAAAAAGTAACAAATATTCTTTTATTTTTTTACACCATTGGTATAAATAATTAATGGTTTGTTTATAATTGTTCCCCTTATTTAATATGGGGAATTATATAATTATCCATTAATTAATATTTAAAGTCTTTTTTTAAAAAGATATACCCACAATAAGAAAATCTTTTTTATAATTATTTTTATAAAAAAAATAGTATAAATAGTTTTAAATTTTAAATTTTTAAAAAAAAAAAAACAAACAAAATCAAATTAAATTTAAAAAAATGATCTTTAGTAAGTAATATAAATTATAAAAAAAATAAACTATCAATTTAGTAACCATTTTTTTTATAACATATACTTGTGTTTATTATAGATTCAATAATCTCACTTTCAAGCGCTGGTTCATCAATGAAATCAAACATGGCTTCAGGTTCAGTATGCGAAATCTTTGGTGACAATGGTGTTTCTGCATGGGGTAAACAAGAACCAAGCCATTGGGGCAAATCAAAACACCATCACTCTGACCCACACAAAAAACACTGGGGTCATTAAATTTACCCTTTATATTTTAAATAAATAAAATAAGAAATTTTTATGAATTTATAAATTTAAATATTTTTTGTTTTAATTATTTTAAATCTCTTAAAAAAAAAAAAAAAAATTTTAAAACAAACAAAAATTAAAACTTCATCTTTTTTTTTAAATTGACCTATTTCTATTTTTAATCAAAAATTACATAATTATTCTTTTATAAATTTTAAATATAACTAAATAAATAATTATTCATTTTTTAATATTCACACACTCTTCTTTAAAAAAAAACAATATTTTTTTTTATAAACATTAAATATTACAAATAAAGTTTATTTATTTTATTTTTAATTATATGTTTATTAATTTGTTTGATTTTTAATTTCATTACCATTTTCATTTTTTTGTTCTTGTTGCTTTTGATATTGTTGTAAAGAAATATTTGTATTTAAGAAATGGTTGAAATGTTGTGTGTCTAATAACATTCTAATAAAATCTTTATTATGATCGGATACAGAACTGAGGAATTTTTGTTTAAACTCTTCAATTTCTAAACTATCATTTACATTTACAGTTATAAATTGGCTTTCTATTTTCTTGAATAACCATTGAGTATATTGTTGGATGATATAAAATATTTTATGTACAGCTTCTAATTGATGTTTTGTATTTTTAACAGGGTTATAGTTTTTTTGATTTACTAAAACAGCTCTATCATCTTTTAAATTGTTTAATCTAAATAATTTAATTAAATAAAATTTATTAGTTATTATATTGCTATTAATTATTGTTATTATTTTTACTTACAATTTATGAAACTCTGGTATTAATGGTGGTTGTTTTGGACAATTATAAATGATCTTATCAGTTTTGACATTTACAATTAAACCATCAAAATTCTTTTTAACAAAGTTTGAAACCCCAAAAACAAATGGTACTGGGGCCTCCAAATAATCCAATAAATTTTGTGGAAGAATTGGGACAAATAAACCTTGCCATACTAATGGATGGATTAGTGATATCATTGAAAAACAACATGATGATAAGGTTGCTAAATTATCACAAACAAATACAACTCTTTGTTCCAATAAAACTGCACCTAAAATTCTTAATATATTTTCCAATGATAAATTTAAAAATGTGCCACCCACTGCCCATTCTGAAATTGAAAGTGCATTTAATTCTTGAACTGATTTAGATTTCTATAAAATAATAATTATTAGTATTTTAAAATTTTAATTTATTAAATAAAAAAAAGACATCATACAGGTATGCTATATTCTCTTGGATGGCTATCATTTGGAAATAATAATTTTAGTTTTTGACCACTTTTAATTTCGAATGGTTGATGATAATATTTTAAAATATCTAAGAGATTTTGCTTGTCAATAAGATGCTTTATATCCTCTTCTGCTTCGGAATCAATATCGCTATTTGTAATACTAATATTATCTACAGTATTTAGTGGTGAATCTCCACTTTGCTGTGATTGTGATTGTGGTGGTATTGATTGTTGTTGATGTTGCTGTTGCTGAATAAAATTTTGTTCTCTTTCATTAAAAAGTTCTCTATCTTTTTTTTCTCTTAATTTTTGCTCTTGGTCCCCATCTCTTGTCAACTCGTCCTCTGTCGATAATAATTCCCTTGTTGTTGTAATTAATCTATCTTGTGCTAAAAGATAAAGGAGAGCATCAAAATGAATATTAAAAATTGGTATTTTTGATAAAAAGCAATAACCTAAAAATAGATATGATTAATAAAAAATATTAAATAAACTATTTATATGTATAAATATTTTAAACGTACATCTTGGCGCTGAAATATATGAAGGTGCTTTTTCTAAAAGTTTTGGTTGCTGTGGGAAAAAATTTGGTATCGATTGAAGTAATTCTGGTTTAGTAATACAAATACCATAAAGTGGATTTTCGCTAGATAAAACAAATGTAAAGTAATGGTTTGGTGAATGAATATATGATTGGCCAAATAACATTTCATTTAAATTTGATCTTGATGGTGTTCTTTTAATAGCTTGTGGAACAATACCACTTGGGAAACAAAACTCTTTTACTTTGGGTGGAACTCTAAATTTAGTAAAAAAAACAGATTAATATTATATAAAAATGGATATAGCTAGTATTAAAATCAATTACTCTTTATCTTTTGGGTATGAAAATAATAGTTCTGGCCTATGAGATACACCAATTTTAGGATTTGAATCAGCTGGTAAACCAACAACAATGAAATGTTCATATAAATTTTGAAAAATTGTTGGTGTACTTATTTGTTGGTTTTTTTCGGTTGATGTATTATTTTCATTTATTTCTGTTTTATTTATGGTTGGGTTTGGCTGTGTTTCTTCAATTTTTGGTGGTTGTGGTTGTGATTGTGGTTGTGGGTGTTCTACTTTTATATGGTTTTGATTAATTTCTACTTGCTCTTGTATATCTTTTTCTAAATCATTATTAAGTTCTTTTTGGATTTGAATATCCTGTTTAATTTCTTGATCTAATTCATTTCTAAGTTCGTCTATCTTTTCTTTAAAATCTTCTTGTTTATGTTGTAAACTATTTATTTCCTCCACTATATGTTCATTTATTAAAGTTTGATTATTACTATTATCCATTTTATCCATATTATTATTACTATTTAAATCTCCATCGGTTTGATTAATATTGATTGAGGATAATGAGTCTTCAATTGTTTCTGTTGAATTTTTTAGTTCATCTATAGCTGTTGCTGTGGTGGTTATAGTTTCTGATAATGTTACATTATTATTAATATTTTCAATATTACTATTGCTACTATTGCTACTATTATCTAAATCTGGCATTAATATTAAACAACAAACTATAAACTATAGTGCATAAATTAATAAATAAAAAAAATAATAATAAATAATAAATAATAAATTTTATTAAAAAAAAAAATAAAAAATTAAAGTAAAAAATAAAAAAAATTAAAAAAAATTAAAAAAAAAAATTAAAAAAAAAATTAAAAATATATTTATTTATTTTTTTTTTTAATTTACAAAAACTATTAATACAAATAAAAAAACTAATAAAATATATATATATGTATTTTAAGATATATAAAAAAAGAAAAAAAAAAAATTAATTGTACACTTTTGAAATTTTTTTTTTCCAAAAAAATTAAAAACTTTAGTTTCTAATTTTTTTTTTCCCAGCAATTATTATTTTTAAAATGTTATTTAATTCTTTTTTTAAATTAAATTTATGCTCTTAAATTTTTTGTGTGAGATATTTTAGATTGTGCAAAAATTGATAATACAAAAAAAAAAAAAAAAAAAGTGAAATAGTACCTTTATCATTGAACTTATATTAAATGAAAATAAATATTAAGCTTCACAAAATAAATTGATAAAAATAATAATAATAATAATAATAATAGTAACAATAATATCTATAAAATTTAATTAAACAGAAACTTAATTATCATATTTAAAATATAAATTCAAATTTGATTATTAATTTGTGTTTTTTATGTATGTGTTGTTCAACACGTGGTGAAATATAATTTTTTTTTTTCAATTTTTTTTTTATTTTTTTTTTATTTTTTTCAAAATTAAAATAATAAATTTTTTAAAAATTTTTTTTTTTATTATTTTTTAGATTTATTTTTATAAATAAATATGTTATATAAATTTGAAACCAAGACTAACAGAGTCAAAGGTTTAAGTTTTCATCCAACTAGACCTTGGATTCTCACCAGTTTACACTCTGGTTCAATTCATCTCTATGATTATCGTATTAAAACTTTATTAGAAAAGTTTGAAGAACATGAAGGTAATAATCATTAAAAAAAAAAAACTAATTATAAATAATAATAATGAAATACATAATCAATAGTCTAAAAATAATAATTATTATCATTGTTCTTTATATTAATATCTTTTTTTATAATTTAATAATAACCAATATTTTATTTTAATACAGGTCCTGTAAGAGGTGTTAATTTTCATATGACCCAACCATTATTCGTATCAGGTGGTGATGATTATAAAATTAAAGTTTGGAATTATAAACAACGTAGATGTTTATTTACATTAAAAGGACATAAAGATTATGTTAGAACAGTCGAATTTCACAGAGAAGCACCATGGATTGTTAGTAGTAGTGATGATATGGTTATTCGTATTTGGAATTGGCAATCAAGAACATGTATTTCAGAACTTAGTGGACACAACCATTATGTTATGAGTGCACTCTTCCATCCAAAAGATGATTTAGTAGTTTCAGCATCTTTAGATCAATTTATTCGTGTTTGGGATATTTCAGGATTAAAGAAAAAGATGACAACAGTTAAACCATACAGAGAGAACGATCCAATGCGTATTCAAGAAGAGATTTTTGGCACCGATGTTATTGTCAAACTTTCATTAGAGGGTCATGATCGTGGTGTTAATTGGGCCGCTTTTCATCCAACTCAACCATACATTGTCTCTGCATCAGATGATCATCATGTTAAATTATGGCGTATGAATGACCCAATTGTCGATACATTCCGTGGTCATTACAACAATGTTTCATGTGCTCTTTTCCACCCACGTCAAGAATTAATCATTAGTAACTCTGAAGATAAAACCATTCGTGTTTGGGATATTGTAAAAAAACAAACTGTCCATATGATCCGTAGAGATAACGATCGTTTCTGGACCTTAGCCTCACATCCAAATCAAAACTTATTTGCTGCTGGTCACGATAGTGGTATGATTGTTTTCAAGTTGGAACGTGAACGTCCAATCTTTGTTCAAAATGGTGATGGTGGTGTTTTCTATTTAAAGAAAAAACATTTCAATTCTTTCGACTTTGCCCAAGGTAGAAGTGTTGTATTATTTAATATTTCAAAATTACCATCAAATAATGGAACTCAAACAATGTCATACAATCAAACTGAACGTGCTATTCTCATTTCATCCGACTCTGAGGGTGGCACATATCATCTCTACAAGATTCCAACCAAAGATAGTAACTCTGTTAACACTAAAAAAGGTACTGGTGTTGCTGCCATTTTCGTTGGTAGAGACCGTTTCGCTGTTTTAGACAAAGGTAACACTGTTGTTGTTAGAGATTTAGAGAATGAAGAAATCAAGAAATGCCAACTTCCATTCACCGTCGATTGGATTTATCCAGGTGGCTCACCAGGTACCATTCTTGTTCAATCTGAAGATAGAGTTTACACATACGATATTCAACAAAAGAAAGTAAACTCTGAAATTGTTATTCATGGTGTTCGTTATGTTATTTGGTCAAAAGATAAAAACCATGTTGCTTTCCTCACTAGAGATCTCATTGTTTTAGCAAATAAAGAATTAGAACAAATCTGTATGGTCCACGAAACAGTTTTACCAAAATCTGGTGTTTGGGATGAACATGGTGTTTTCATTTACAGTACTAGCAACCACTTGAAATATCTCTTACAAAATGGTGATAACGGTACCATTAAAACTTTAGAATCAACTATCTACATCACTGGTGTCAAGGATGGTAAAGTCTTTGCTATCGATCGTGAATTCAAGAATCGTATCATCGAAATTGACCCAACTGAATACATTCTCAAACTTTCACTCTTACAACAAAACTACAACAAGGTTATGAATATTCTTAAAGAAAATCGTTTAGTTGGTAAAGCCATCATTGCCTATCTCCAAAAGAAAGGCTATCCAGAAGTTGTTCATTTCGTTAAAGATGATAGAACTCGTTTCAATTTAGCTTTAGATTGTGGTAATATCGAAATCGCTCTTCAAAGTGCAAAAGTTTTAGATGATAAAGAATGTTGGAGTCGTTTAGGTGTCGAAGCTCTCAAACAAGGTAACTACCAAATTGTTGAAATGGCCTATTCTAGAACCAGCGAATTTGACCGTCTTTCATTCCTCTATTTATTGGTCGGTAATTTACCAACCCTCAAAAAGATGATGTCATACGAATCAAGCGACATCATGAGCAGATTCCAATTCTCTTTATATTTGGGTGACGTAGAAGAAAGAATTAAAATTCTCCAAGAAGCCGGTTTACACCAACTTGCTTTTATTACCGCTTCAATTCATGGTCTCACCGAAAAAGCTCAAGCTATTGGTGCACAAATTACTGCCGATGGTAAAGCACAACTTCCACAACTTCCACAAGAATCTTATCTTTTAACACCACCATCCCCAATCAATGCATTTAATCCAAGCGAACTTAATTGGCCACTTTTATCTGTTGCCAAATCTGTCGGTGATGCCATTAGTGGCGACAATAGATTCGGTGTTGAATCCACCGTCGATGAAATTGGTGGTGGCTGGATTACAGATGACGAGGTTGGTGTTGATGATGATTTAACATCATCAAATCAACAAGAATCCTTAGTCGATGTTGAAGATGATGGTTGGGATAAATTAGAATTTAAAGAATTAGACAAGATTGGTACTGATAACTTCTCTGCTGATAAAAAAGCTGAAGCAGCATTATTTGTACCACCACAACCAGGACCAAGCTTTTCACAAATATGGGCAAGAAACTCTCAATTCGCAATCGATCATATTGCTGCTGGTTCATTCGAAGTCGCTATGAACTTGTTAAATTCACAAATCGGTGCAATTAATTTCGATCCAATCAAACCATTATTTATGAATGTATTTATGGGTGCACGTTCATCATTGGGTGCTCTTCCATCAACTCCATCTCTTTTAATGCCAATTCAAAGAAAAAGCTCATCACCATACATTCCATACAACCTCACTCATCTCATTGATCGTTTGAAATCATCAGCTTATAGATCAACCACCGAAGGTAAATTTGGTGATGCCCTCGTTCACTTTACCTATATCCTTCACACCATCATCTTTTGTACTGTAGAAACCAAACAAGAAAATGGTGAATTAAAAGACTTAATTAATATTTGCCGTGAATATATTTTAGGTATTAAAGTTGAATTACAAAGAAAAGATCTTGCCACTGGTTCTCAAAAAGATACCACCCAAGGTAGACAAACCGAATTAGCTGCTTACTTTACCCATTGTAATTTAGACTCTTCTCATTTGATTCTTAGTTTACGTTCTGCTATGAACTGTGCCTATAAAGTTAAACACTTTAACTTGGCTGCTTCATTTGCTCGTAGACTCATCTCACTCAATCCAAACCCAGATCTTGCCACCCAAGCTAAAAAAGTTTTCAATTTTGCCCAACAAACTCCAACTCCAGCTGATGCTCCACAAGTAAACTATGATGAACGTAATCCATTCGTAGTTTGTGCTCACTCCTTCACTCCAATCTATAAAGGTTCTGCTTTAGTTAAATGTCCATATTGTTCAAGTTGTTATCTCCCACAATACAAAGGTAAAGTTTGTGCAATTTGTCAAATTTCCGAAATTGGCAAAGAAACTCAAGGTTTACAAGTTATAATTAATCAAAAATAAAACAATAACCAATCATTTATAATAATAGTAAACAAATAAACAAAAAAAAAAAACCCTTTTCATTATTACAACTAAATATATTCCTATTTTTAAAAAAAAACCCTGGTATAAACCCCCATTTAAAAATTTTTTTTTTATCCAACACATTTTAAAATTTATCCACCAATTTTTTAAATTCATTTAATAACGATTTTCAAAATATCATTTTTTTTTTTTTTATTTCATTTTTTTTTGTTTTCATTAGATATTTTTTAAATCCTAATTAGAAAAGTAATTAGCAGTTTCAGTTTAAAAAATTTTTTAAAAACGAAAAAAAAAAAAATTTTATTTTTATTTTTTTTTTTTAAAATTTTATTTTGTTTTTTTAAAATATTTTATTATTTTAAATTAAATAAAAAAAAAGGAAGGAAAAAGTTTTATAGTTTTTATTTTATAAATATAGTTTATTATTTTTATTTATTTTATTATTTAATTTTATTTAAATAAACTTATAAAAAAAGAAAAAAAAAAAAAAAAAAAAAAAAAAGAAAAAAGAAAAGTTTTTTTATTTTAATTTTTTTTAAAAATATATATTAATAATAAAAAATGTTAAATAAAAAGCATATAATAATATTGGCATTTATAATAGTAACAATTATTTGCTATCAATTTGCAATCACCAGACCATATACACCAGGATCATTAACTAATACAAGTGGAACATCCTTCGGAAATAATAATTTAGATATTTCGGAACTATTAAGATTACAAAAAGATTTGAAAGCACAACAAAATGAAATTAGAAAGCAATTAGAATCATTAAAATTCTCTGTAGATAATGCCGAAATAAATGGTGGAGCAATGTGCGAATTAGATAACAATGAAGAAAGACCAAGAAAACAAAAATCTCCAATACCCAAACCAACATTCGAATCAGACCCAGATCTTTTATATCAAATGCAATTAGATGAAAGATTAAAGAAAACATATAAAGACCAACCAAACACATGTATCCCATCCGATGGTAAATTACTTTGCCTCCCAAATTTTATTGTTATTGGAACAATGAAATCAGGTACAACCTTTTTAGATTTCTATTTACAAAAGCATCCACAAATTGCACATCACAACAAAAAAGAAATTTGGTATTTCAACAGTTACTATGCCAATGGTATCAAATGGTATGCTGACCACTTTGAACAATACAATTCATTAGAGAATCAAAAATTAATCGGTGAAGCCACTCCATTTTATATTAATAACCCAAATACTGCACCACGTATGTACGCAACCTTAAAGAACGCAAAACTCATTCTTTTACTTAGAGATCCAGTTGAGCGTGCTCTTTCACAATATCACTTTTCACTCCAATGGCTTAAAAGAAATAAACAACCAGCACTTCAATATTCATTCGAACATTTAATCGCTGAGGAAGCTGATGTCATTGAAACATGCGTACGTGGCCACGAAAGATATAGAGAAGCCTTTGCTGAAAGAAAATTGGCCGAAGAAAGAGGTGAAGTTGATCCAGATTCAACTTTCGATTTAATTGACCCATATTATCAATATCATAGCGAAAAGAATTGGACTTTTTATAAAGATTGTGTCAAATGTGATAAATGTTTCCAAAATGGTATTTTACATACATCAGGTCACCCAACTTTTGGTATGTTAGCAAAATCACTTTACTATGAACAAATTGATTTTTGGTTAGATTATTTCCCATTATCTCAAATTCATATTATTAGATACGAAGATATTTCACATTATCCAGAAAAAGGTAAATATATTATTATTCATATCCTATTAAAATTTTATTTTTTTATTTTTATTAACAAATTTTTTTTATATTATTTAAAGTATTAAGCGAAGTTGAAGACTATTTAGGTATTACTCATAATGATTATGGTGAATTTAAACCAAAGAATGTCGTACCACACGATAAAATGGGTGAAGAAACAAGAAGCTTTTTAGTTGATTACTTTAGAGAATCAAATAAAAAACTTTATAAATTATTAAATAGAGATTTCAACTGGCAATCAGAATAATCAAATAATAACAAGTATATATAATATAATAATTTAATATTTTTATTATAAAAAATTGTAAAAAAAATATTGTAAAAAAAACATAAAAAAAATAAATAAAAAGATATATGTATATTTAGATGTAATATGTATATCTTTTTTTCTTTTCTTTTAATATCAAAAATATTTATTCTCACATTAATAAATTTCATCACCATCATCATTTTTTTATTTTTTTTTTTATTTTTTATAAATATTTTTTTTTGTAATTTTTTTTAAATTTTTTTTTTAATTATTTTTTATTTTTTTCATTTTTAATTATAAAATATTTATAAAATTTCTTTTATAAAAATATAAAAAAGAAGAGATGTACATAAACGATTGGGAAGAGTTTTACGATAAATCAGAACAATTATATAGACAAGATCCAAAAAGAGTATTTTAAATTTTAAATCAAAAAAAAACAAAACAAAACAAAGAAATTATTTACTAATCTATTTTTTTACCAATATCTATTTAGACAAGATTTGTATTTAAATTTAGACATATTGAAAGCAAAGTAGTTTTAAAAGTTACAAATGATACAGTAAATCTTCAATATCAAACAGACAAAGAAGATGATTTCCAAAAAATTGAACAAATTAATTCATTATTTTTTAGAATTATGACAGAACAATAAAAACTTTAATATAATATAATAATAATAGTAATAATAATATCAATATCATTACTACATTTCAAATACTTCATACCTATAAACTCTTTACATACAATAAATCACTACACAACCATCATCACTATAGTCAACGCAAATAATATAACATTCAATTATAACATTTAAAAATGTTTATATAAATAACCCTTCATAAATAAAAATCTTGTAAAATTATATATATTTATTTATATATAAATTATATTTAAATTTAAATATATGTATTTATTTTATTTTATTTTTTTTCTAAAGATCAAACCACACCACACACAATTTAATTTTTACCACATTGAATTTTTTATTATTTCTTTTTTTTAAATAATAAATCAGACCAATCAAAACATAAAATACATGTATTTGTTTAATATTTTTAAAGTGGAGAATGATAAAAAAAAAAAAAACCCTAATTCTATAAAAAATTGCTATCATTGTTATTTAATCAATCAACCTTATGTGTAATTATCTATCGTACTTTTTTTTTTTTTTTATACACCACATAATTTTTATAAACACATAAAAAATAATTTACTATTTATAAAAAGATTTAGAAAAAAAATAATAAATTTTTTATTAGGGTTATGAATTATAAAGATTAAATCTTTTATAAATAGTAATGAAAATTTAAAATTTATAAATATTGTTTATAATTTTTTTAATTGGATTAAAATTAATTTATTTAAATATATTAAAAAAAAAAAAGAGTATAAATAGTTTTTTTTAATTTTATATTTAAATATTATTAAAACATTATTATTAATCAATTATTTTTAACTATAATAATATAATAAATGAAATTATTATATACTATTATTGCTGTAATATTAAGTTTTACTCTTTTAATAGAGTTTAGCTATGCTGTTTGTACCCAAAGATATTGTGGTGTAGAAGGTGCCCAGTGTAATTCAAATCGTGCTTGTGCAAAGGGTTTCTATTGTTTAAGCAATCAATGCACAAAGGGAAAGGATGAATTAGAGACATGCTCACACGTTCAACAGTGCCGTCCTGGTTTAAGCTGTGTTAACCATGGTCAATTTAGAGTTTGCAAAGCTGCTCATTTTTTAGGTGCTGGTGAAAAATGCACTGAAAATTTAGAATGTTACGGTTCATTAAAATGCACTAAAGGATTATGCAAATTAAACAAAGGTGCAAATTGTACAATGGATGAAGAGTGTGGTCACCATGGATACTGTAAAGGAATTGCCTGTCAAACTAGATTGCAACCAGGCTCAGATTGTCTTTTCAATGAAGATCAATGTTGCCATGGTTATGTTTGTGGTAAAGTTGATGAATACACCGATTATAAAAAGGGTAAATGTATTCCAATGTTTTCAAAGAAAAGTGGTGAATCATGCTTCTCTCAATATGGTGAATGTGATATGGCTGATGGATTGTTTTGCCCATCTACCAGTGGTATTACTTCGACTTGTGCTGATATCGATAGATTCAATATTAAGTGTAAAACCTCAAGTGACTGTGACACAATGTGGGAAGAATGTGAATGTAACGGTAACAAAACCAATTTATCATGCCATAGCAAATTCAATATAGATTCAACTTGTTCAAAATTATATTTAGCTCTCCAAAACTGTGCCTCTGCTAAAGACTGTACCATTAAAACCAATATCAACGATGCCAGTGAGCTCAATGAAAATAGTTGTATTATGAAAAAATGTAAAGAACAAGCATTATGCTTTTATTCACGTTGTTTGAAATTTGAATTTGGTTGCAAAATGCCAGAAGGACTTCAATGTACTGGTGAAGGTGCCGCTGAAGCTTTTACTAATTTCACTTTACCAGCAAGAACTGGTTTATATAATGATAGCTATGGAGAAGATGCTGAAGCCACTAAAAAACCAAAACCAGGTTCAACAGGTACCGCTATTGGAAGTGAAGAAGCATCAACTGAAAGTGATTCAGTTAGTGATGAATTTGCAAACAATGATAATTCAGAAAAAGGTAACAATAGCAAAGACAATGGATCCAAAAACAATGATGAAAACAATGAGAAAAACAGTGCCTCAATTGTATATATTTCTTTAACATTGACATCAATTTTATTATCATTATTAAACTTATTTTAATGTGTTTTTAAAAGATTAAATAAAGATGTTTTAAAATCTATTTTAAATTTATTTTTTATTATTTATTTAGGCGTATTTAGCATGGGCATCTAAAAGATAAACAACACAACTTAATAATTTTTTACCAAAATCGATGTGAAGGAATTCATTTGGACCGTGAGCATTTGATTGTGGACCTAAAAGACCAGTAATGACGAATTGAGCTTCTGGGAATTTTTCACCAAGCATACCCCTAATTAAAGTAAGGAATTAGTATATTTAACAGGTTAATTATTTTCTGTATTGTTTTTATCGTTTATTATTGTAACATTAGTAATAAATTATACATACATGAATGGAATGCTACCACCTTCACCAGTATAAACGTGTGGTTTATTAAAGAAGTTTTGTGAAGCTTCACCAAGAGCTTTTTCTAACCATGGTTTAACAGCTGGGGCGTCCCAACCAGCAGCAACATCAACAATATTGAAAATAACTTCAGCACCATATGGTGGGTTTGATTCGAGAATTTCTTTAAGAGCCTTGCTAGCAACATCAACGGTTAATGATGGTGGAAGACGAATTGAAAGTTGAACAGTAGTTTGAGTACGCATAACATTACCAGCATTGGAAATGTGTGGGATACCATCAACACCAGTGGTACAGACAGTTGGACGCCATGTTTTATTTAATAATAATTCAGCTGGATCAGTGGTAATTGGCTGGGTGTTACCGTGCCATGAATAGCTTTTGTAGAAATCACCTAAAACTTCAGCACATTTCTTGGCTTGGTCAATTCTGTAGCTTGGAATTTCAACATGAAGTCTTTTATCGACTTCACCAGTAATTTGGTTTTCAAGACGATCAATAACTTGACGAAGAATACGGAATGATGATGGAACAATACCTGAGGCTGAACCGCTGTGACAAGCTTCATCTAAAACTTTAACAGTAAGGTCACCACTTAAAACACCACGAAGACTGCTGGCTAAAAAAAATAATTAATACAAAATAATTTTTTTTGATTTAAAATAGTTTTTACTTACTCATCCATAATTGTTCATAGTTACCACAACCACTATCTAAACAAACAATAAGTGAAGGGGTGCCAATTTCTTCTTGATATTTATCAATATATCTAAAATTAAATAAAATTAAATATTAATATTAATAAAATTTAATAAATCTACCTAAATATTTGATTCATACTGAGTTAAATGAATTGAACCTGATTCTTCTGAACCCTCAATAACAATAACATAACGATCATGTGAAATATTTTGTTCTTGAAGAGCCTATAGTTTTAAAAATATAAAAATATTAAAATTAATTACTGTTCAAATTTACAATGAAAAATATTATTATTACTTACTTTAATTGCCATAACTGAAGCAAAAATTGAATAACCATCATCAGCACCACCACGACCATATAATTTACCATCTTTAATAACAGCTTTGTATGGATGTAAACCTTCAGCCCACTAAAATTCAAAACCATATTAATATCGTGAATAATAAAAATAAATAATAGTAATAAAATAAATACTTCGCTAGTTAAAGGTGGTTGTTTATCCATGTGTCCATATAAGAAAACAGTTTTTGAGTTTTCAGTTTTGGTAGATTCTACAGTAATGAAAATAATTGGTGAAATACCTTCAATTTTTTTAATTTCTGATTTTAATCCTTTAACATTTTGTTCTAAAACCCAATTGTTTAATAATTCTACAGCTTTTTCTGTTAAACCATTGGTAGCCCATTCTGGATCATATTGTGGACTTTGATTTGGGATTTCGATATATTTTGATAAAGTTGGAATAATACTTTCCTCCCAAGTTTTATTACTGAACTCTTTAACTTGTTCAATGTTTAATGACATTATTTATCTGTATATTTGATGAAATATAAATATAAAAAAATGAAAAATTTTAAAAAATTTGAAAAAAAAAAAACAAAAAAAAAAATAAAAAAAAAATAAAAAAAATGATTTTCATTGTATCTTTTGCCAATGCAATGAAAATTAATTTTTTATCAAATTTGATAAAAAAATTAAAAAAAAAAAAAAAAATTAAAAAAAAAAGGAACAGGAAAAAATATTTTTATTTAATTGTTTTACATTTTAAAAGAATTATTAATAATTCTTGGTTTTTTGATAGTTATTACCATTGAAATGGAATATTTGGTGGTTCTTGAACCATTTGTTCATTATCTTGGTCCATCATATCATTATTTTGATTGGTGTTGACTTCACTGGTTTGATTGTTGTTAACTTCATTGGTTTGATTGTTATTAACTTCGTTGGTTTGATTGTGGTCATTCTCAACACTGATTCTACTGCTAATCAAAAGTCTATTAATTGATTCTCTTTTATGTTTAAAAATATAATAATAGACTTGGTATCTTTTTTCAAGGTTGGCTGGAGAAGATAATCTTGAAGGAACAAATATTTTTTCTGGAACAACTGATGAAACATCATTTGATCTTCTAAAAATATTTTTACACTTCAACGAAAGCATACAGGCTCTATCACCCTTTAAGACAATATCCCTGGTGTCATTGTGTAACATTAATCTTCTAAGTATAAAATTGTCATTTTCATGGTTATCATAAATTGAATCTTCAAACTTGTCGCAATTTTCTCTTTCTACGAAACAAACAGTAAAGTACTTTAAATCGTCCTGATCCGAAATTTCTGAAAATACTTTATTTTCAAGCAATTGGGCTACATATGAAATGCTGAGTGGTCTACGTCTAAGACTGGTTAATACCATTTTTTTATGTTTCTATAAATTTAAATTAAAAAAAAAAAAATGTTGTTGCAAAATTTTATATTATTTTTAGGTAAAATAATAAAAATGATATAGTGAAATAAAAATCAATTGAAAAAAAATAAAAAAATAAAAAAATTTTTTCAATTAAAAAAAAAAAAATTAACTTTTTTAAAAAAAAAAAAAATTAAATTAAATTAAAAATAAATCTTTTTTAATAATAACAATTATAATTTTTTACCCTTCATGTTTTTTTTTACCCCCAACACCAAAGTGTTTTTATTATTATCATTCCGAAAATAAAAAGCCTATCCATAATAGTAATTAGGTAACTGATAACTGTGTGATGTGTGTGATGTGTGTGATGTGTGTTAATTGTGTGTGTGTGTGTGTTTGTTATAAGAAAATATATATCATATTTATAATGATGAATATTGGTTTTATTTAATATGTATCTACAATAATATTTTTATTTACTATAATAACTCTGGCATTCTTTCAACTGTATATCTTTTTCCCTTTAAATAAATAATAGGAACACCAGGTATTTTACGAATACGTCTTCTTAAATCAGCATCACATGTAGCAACCATAAACATTCTATGCATTGTAACTCTATTTATTATACAATCATCAGCATATGTACCTTTATGTGAACATTGTAATCTTTGAAATCTTGGATCTTTAGTAACTCTATAAAAATAAAAAAATAAAAAAATTATTAGTAAATATTTAAAATATTATTATTATTGATTATTATTGTTATTATTGATTATTATTATTATTGTTATTGTTATTGTTATTATTATTATTGCTATTATTTTTTATTTTTATTTTTATGGTTATTGCTATTGTTTTTATTGTTGTTATTCCTATTGTTTTTATTTTGTAATTTCTACTATTATTATTATAATTGTTTTTATTATTTATTATTGTTTTTCAATTTTTATTTTTTTTTTGGTTTTTGATATGGTTATTTTAAGGTTAGCTAATAATTAGTGATATGATAATTTACTTTAATGCTACTTTGAATTTAGTTCCTAATCTTTCAATTTCTGCAGCTACACAATCCGAAATATAAGGTATACATTTTGCATATAAACAATCCATTAATGCTTGAACTATATCTAATTTATGTGAAATTGAAAAATTTATAAAATTGGTATCGATAATAATATGATATGGTGGTGCTAATGCTTCATTGTATGAAAAAAACATATGAGATGTATTATCTTCTGGGCTAAAAAAAATTAAATTTGAATGATTAGTTGTTATTTTTATTATCAACAATTTAAAACAAATAAATAAATTATTATTTACATTTCTTCTAATTTCTTTTTATGTTCAGCTTCTTTTTCAGCTCTTTGTAATTGTTTTTGTCTATTTGAAAAATTTCTGTATATTATTTTAATGAATATAATAGGTTAGATAATTATTATTATTATTATAAATATAATATTTATATATTTATATAGATTCTTACGTATTTGTACTATTTAATTTTTGTAATGGAATTTTCTTTGGTGCTAATCCAGGTTTTCTAGCCATTTTATAATTGATATATTTATAATGTGTTTATATAGATTGTAAAAAATAAATAAAGCTTTTTTTTTTTTTTTTTTTTTTTCGTTTTTTAAAAATTTAAAAAAAATAAAAAAAAAATAAATTAAAATAAAATTGTTTTTTTTTAAAATTTTTTTTATTTTTAATTTTTAATTTTTAGTTTTTAATCAAATTAAGATAAAACTAAGATAAAATTAAACCCCTTTATCCAATCCACACAGTTTCTTTTGATCATTTGATCAGTGGATATCGTAATAACAGAAAAAACATTCCACAACCATATTTTATAAAAACTATAAATATACTTTTTAATAAAAACAAATAAATAAATATAGAATAATAAATAAAACAACAATGATAAACAAAAAAAAACAAAGAATAAAGAAATAAGTATTTATTTAATTGTTGAAAATCTATAAATTGTTAAAATTATTTTTATTTAAATTTAAAAAAAAAAAATTTCTTTTTTTTCACTTTTTTTTTTTTTTTTTTTTTTAATTTTTTAAAAATTTTTAAAAATTTTTTTTTTTTTTTTTTTTTTAATCTTATTTCAATTTTTGGTATTTCCAATTAATTTATCACAAAAAATCAACTATTTATTTTATTATTATTTAAATTTTTAATTTTTAAAAAAAGGTTAATCACTTTTCGAATTTTGTTTTTTAAAACAAAATTCATTTAAAATAATAATAAAATAAAATGGCATTTCTTCCACCAAATTTAAAGATTATGTTTACACCAAGACCACCACCACCATTTTTGCCACCACCAGAACCATCGAATTTACCACCCTATACCGGATTATCATCCTATACTTCATATTTTGAAGATCCATCAAAAGAAGAACCATTCAAAAGGGAAATTGTTGAATCTGCTACAGAAAAAAGAGAAAAGAAAAGAAAGGCAAAAGAAGATGCAAACAATGAAAGAAATGCAAAACATTTAAAATCCTGTAGGTTTTCATTCAATCTACAAATGTTTATAATGGTTGTATTAATACTAATATTCATATTTAATTTTATTTTCATAGGGGATCCATACTCACACCCAGAACTTCACACAGGAGATCCATATAAAACAATATTTGTCAGTAGAATAAGCTATCAAACCACTCAAAAAAAATTAGAATATGAATTTTCACAATTTGGTAATATTAAAAGTATATATTTAGTTAAAGATCCAAAGAATCCACAAAAACACAGAGGCTATGCATTCATTGAATTTGAAAGAGAAAGAGATATGAAAGGTATTTTTTATTTATCATTATTTATTATTTATTTATTATTTTATACTAAAACCTTTTTTTTTTTTTTTATCTTTTGTTAGCTGCATACAAACAAGCTGATGGAATGAAAATTGATGATAGACGTATTTTAGTTGACATTGAGAGAGGCAGAGTTATTAAAAATTGGAAACCAAGAAAGTTTGGAGGTGGTTTAGGTAATACAAGAGCAGGTGGTGCTGATGTGAATCAAACATTCTCTGGCAGAGAGTTATCAGAGCAAAGAGAAAAAGAAAAGGAAAGAGAAAAAGAAAGAGAAAGAGAAAGAGAAAGAGAGAAAAAGAGAGGTGCCGCTGGTAGTAACGAAAGAGACCGTGATAGAGAAAGAGGAGGTAGGGATGAAAGAAGAGACCGTGATAGAGACCGTGATAGAGACAGAGACAGAGAAAGAGATCGTGATAGGGATAGAGATCGTGACAGAGATAGAGATAGAAGAGACCGTGATAGAGATAGAGATAGAGACAGAGATAGAGATAGAGATAGAGAAAGAGATTATCGTGGTGGGGGTGATAGGGATCGCGAAAGAGAATATCGTGAAAGAGATCATCGTGGTGGTAGTGATAGAAGAGACCATCGTGAAAGAGATCATCGTGAAGACAGAGGAAGAAGAGATCATGAAAGGGATGATAGAGACGGATATGGTCATCCACCACAAATCAACAACCATCAGGATAATTATCAACAACAACAACAACAACAACCACAGCAACCACAGCAACAACAACAATATCAACAACAAACTCAACCAGGTCAACAATACAACAACTCACATCAACAAGAAAGAACAAACAGAGATTACTCCATGCTTGCTAATGGTGAAAATGGCTACTATTAAATTCTTTTAGCTCCAATCGAAAAAAAAAAAAAAAACAAAAAAAAAAAAAAACAAATAATTTCAACTATAATTTCCACAACATAACCAAACATTCATTTTTTTCTTAAAACAAAAAAAATATAAATAATAATTAAAACATTAAAAATCGGTAACTTTGTTGGTAGGTTCTATTTATTTTTTTAAAAAAAGTGTACATTTTATTTTATTTTTATTATAATTTTATTATTGTAAAATTTAATTTATTTTTCAATATTTAAAAAAAAGGTGAGTCTCTTTAACTATTAAATTATGAATAATAATAAATACTAACATTTTTATTTTTTTATTTTAAGGTAATATTAAAATATATAGGGAGGAGTAAGTTATCAAAGAAATAAAACACAGGGAAAATAAAAAGTATAAAAAATAAAAATAAAATAAACAGTTGGTTTTTTTTTTATTTAAAATCAAATTAACAAGAAATAAATATAAATAGTTTTATTATCTTTTATTTTTTTTATCTTGGATAGGAGCCATTCTTTATTTTAATTGTTTGGTTCCTTATTCCAGCGAATAAGCAATTTTTATTATTTCCATAAAAAGAGTTTATATTTATGTTGTTGTCGCAAATAGTTCGGATTATGTTTGAATCAATAGTTTTTATAAATTTAAAGTTTTCTATTTTAATTTATATAATAATTAATAAAAAAATTAATAATAAATATTTATTTAAAGTCTAAATATCAAAACTTACCCAGTAGTGCCATTTTTTATAAGAAATGTTTAAAATAAACAATGTTTAAAAATATTTTTTTAATTTATATTTTTTTAAAAACAAATATGAAATTTAAAAAAGGTATAATTAATTTTAATTTTTTTTTCCACCCAAAATTAATTTTAATCTAAAAATTAAGAAATAATCTACAAAAAAAAAAAAAGCTATTTACAATTAAAAAAAATGCATGGATGCAATAAACTACAAAATAAATTAATAATATTACAAGATCTTAATTTTTTTTTTTGATCGATTAATAATTTTATGATATGTTTTTTTTTATCTATTACTATATTTGTTTTTGGATAAAAAAAGTCAAATAATTTATTTATAAATAAAAATATATATAGATATGATAATTTATTTTTCAAAGTATTATTTTTAATATTTTTTTAATATTTTAACACAATGTTGTTAATTATAACTACATCAAGTAAATGATTTTATTTTAATTTAAAATCCTATTGATGATTTAAAATATTATAATAATCTTATGTAATTATATTGATATTATTTTTTAGCCTTTGTTTTTAAAGAATTATAGTAATAAAAATTTTACAAGGATAACCAAATACATAAATTATGATTAAAATGAAATATTAATAATCATAATGAAAAATAATCAATTAATTAAAAACCATAAAAAATAAAACAATAATAATAATAATAATAATAATTAATATTATTGATTTATACACTGAATATATACTATTTTTTTTTAAAATTTTTTTTTTATTTTTTTTTTATATATTTGGATAATATAGTTTTTTTTTTTTTAATAATTTAATTTTTTTTGGTATTTTTTTTTTTTTTGATCTATCTTCCACGCATTTGACTAACAGCACCTGAACGACCTAAAGCTTGACGAGTACGTGGATCAATTTGTGGACCAGCTTGTGGTTTATCGGATTGATTATTTTGAACAGTTTCATCAACAGATAAGATTAAACAAGTAGCTTCGGTTGCGGCAACAACTGAATTTAATTTAACTACAGCTGGTTCCCAAATTGAGCCTTCATAAGCATCACAAATACCTTCATTGGTGATATCAACACCAAACCATTTTTGACCTTGAGCGTGTTTTTGTCTTAATTGATTGAGGATATCAGTTGAATCGAAACCGGCGTTATCGGCGATTTGTCTTGGAATAACTTCGAGGGCTTTAGCGAAAGCATTGATTAAAAGTGTTTTTACCATCAGTTGAGAGGAAGAGTTATCCCGGAGATATTTACTAACTTCCATTTCAGTAGCACCAGCACCAGCACAACAGATCCATGTTTACGAGCTCCTCTGACATCATATGGAGGTCATGAAGTGAACGTTCAGCTTCATCAATAAATTGTTCACCACCACCACGGAGAATGATAGTAGCAGTTTGAGTTTTGCTGCAACCAGTGAATAAATTGTAACGATTTGAACCAACTTGTTTCTCTTCAAAAACATCACAGGTACCAATAACTTCTGGAATAATATTTGAAACGGTGGTTTGAATAGCAGCACCAGTAGCTCTACAAACACGACGAACATCATCTTCTGGGACACGACCAGCACAAAACATTTTTTTATCGGCAAAGAATTGAGTAGCTAAATCACCAATAGCTAAACGTGAAAGAATAACGTTGGCACCAGAAGCGTGAATAGCTTCAAGTTTATCAAAGAATAATTTCCATTCGGCGTTGACTAATGATTGATATTTAGATGGGTCACTAATACGAATTTCGGCATTATCTTTTTCTGCTTTAAGTTCTAATTCGATGTTGAGACATAAAACTTTTGGATTTTTAATGTGTTTTGGTTGTTGTTCGAAACCTGCATAAAAGAAAGTTCTCTTGAAGGCAGCACCGGCAATGAATTGTGAATCACCTAAACCACCACCACTTTCTTTTTTAATACCAATCATATCTAAATCGATATTATCATCTAAAAGTTGAACGGCATCGACGACCATCTTTGAAAAGAATTGTTTGTGTGAGGCAATTAATTTGGAGTTCATTGAAGTTTGGGCACATTTTTCAAGGAATTCTCTCATATTGTCTGGTTTGATTTCGATGGAGAGTTCTTTAATTTTTTGCTTGGCTAAATCGCATGCTTGTCTAAAAGCTCTAATAATAATTTGTGGGTGAATACCTTCCTCTAAGAATGGTTTAGCTGCTTTTAAAAATTCACCTGCCATAATAACTACGGAAGTGGTACCATCACCAACTTCACTATCTTGACTTTTTGCTATATCAACTAAAGTACGAGCTGCTGGATGAACAATATCTAAAAGTTTCATAACTGTTGCACCATCATTTGAAATTGTAACTTGTCTTTCACTTTGATAAACTAATTTATCCATACCTCTTGGGCCTAAAGTTGTACGAACTGTATCAACAATTGCACAACATGCATTTATATTACTAATTAATTGTGGTAAACCTTGAGATGTATCTGTTCCTTCCTTTAAAAGTACAATTGGTGGTCTCTAAATATATTTAATAATTACAATTGATATTTGTGTTTAAATGGTTTTTTTTTTTTTTGAATTTGATTATTTAATGAAAATAGTTGATTTTTTTTATTTTTTTTTAAATTAAATATGAATTAGTATTAGGGTTAATAGATATGGTATGGTAATAGATTTAAAAGAATATCTTACAATCATTTGAGACATCTTTTAATTTATATATATAATACACTTTATGTGCAATCAATGAACTGAAAAAAATCAAAAAAAAAAAATAATAATTTTTGAAAAAAATTTAAAAAAAATTTTAAAAAAATTATTTTTAAAAAATAAAAAAAAAAAACAATTTTTTTTCATTTTTTTTTTTTCATTGTAATTCGCCCTAAAAAATTATAATTGTGAAAAGGATAATTTCAAACAATAACCAAATATTTTAATTTATTTATTAAAAAATACAATAGATTTATATATTAGTCTACTGTTTGGAACCATCCTTTTCTACTAAAAATAAACTATTTAAATTGAAAAAGTAAGTATTTAACAATTTTGTGTTCACATTTTAATTTATTAAATAGTTTATAATTTAACACAACGGTGATTAAAGGAATGTCTGTGCAATGTTAAATATCACCATCATTACAATAATATCGTCCCTTGTTAAATTTAGATTAATTTATTTTTATATTTATTTCACCACTATTCCCTTTTAAAAATTTTTTTTTTTTTTGGTCAATTATTTCATAAATCAACCGAAATAAAAATAATAATAATAAAATAAAAAAATAATATTATCTTTTATCACTCACACACATACACACAACACATTCTTTTTTAATTTAGATCAAAAAAAAAGTTTATCAGGTTGAATCTAAAAAAAAAGCATTTTGGAATATATTTATATTTTTTTTTTTTTAAATTAAATATGTGTGAAATTAATATTTTTTTGTTATTTTGGGGCGTGTTAGTGGGAGTATGTGAGGTGTTAAAAGCTAAAAATGATAATTTTTTATATTAGTTTTTTAATTTATTTATTTTTTAAATTTTTAACCTCATATATTTATAATTGTAATATTATTAGTAGTAGTAGTAGGAGAAATAATAATAATTGTTGTTGTAGTGGTAGTTGAAACAAATAAAAAATAAAATTTAAATTTTTAAAAAAAAAAAAAAAAAAAAAAAAAAAAAAAAAAAAAGTTATTTAATTGTTTCATCACAATCATATTCTTTTTATATTTATACAATTAATAGATATTATTGTTATTTATTTTTGTTTGTATATATATTATTGTTATTCATAACCCCAATTAAAATCATAACTAACTAATCAATCTCTAATGTTTTAATTGTACAAAATCAAATAAACAATTTTCTTTTAATAAACAATTAAATAAATAATTAAAAATAATTAAAAATAAAAAAGAAATAATAGTGTAATAATAATAATAATAATAATAATAGTAATAAACAATTTTTATTTTATTGTTTTTTTCTTTGTATAATAGTATAATAATATTAAAATATATTTTCTTTTAATTTAATTAAATTTAATTAATTAATTAAAGAAAAAAAGAGAATATAATTAATTTATTTATTTTTTTCAATAAAATTTTATTTTGTTGTCAAATTGACTTCAAATAATAAAACCTCAAAATAATAAATTCATTAATACTCTAGTTTTTAATTTTTTTCTGTATTATTTATTTTCAAGAGATTTTAGTATTGGAGGATTTAAAACAAAAATTCAAGAAATACTTTCAACACTGTTATAGAGGATTAGTAATAGGTATGTTAAAAAGTTTGTTTTTATTATTTTATGTGTTTACCAACTATTCTTTAATTTTTTTTATTTTTTTGTTTATATTTTTTGTTTTATTTTAATTTTTTTATTTCTAATTTCTTTTAAAAAAAAACTTTGTTTCATCATCATTGTTAAAAACATCATCGATATAAAATATAAATTAAATAGCATTTGGGTTTAATTCTTTGTATTATTTTCTTTATTTTTATTTTTATTTTTATTTTCATTTTCATTTTTATTTTTATTTTTTTGTGTGTTTTTTAAAAAGTGGGTGAATAATAACTAAACTCTCTTTTTGTTATTTGTTGTTTAAAGCGAATATAAACAAGAAACAATTACATTGGATAGCTATATTGTTGCTATTTACAACTACTTAAAAGTATTATTAAATATATATATTTTAATAATAAAAATATTATTAATGATAGAAATTATAACAATACATAAACTAATAATTAAAGTAGTACTTTAAAAAAAATAGTGGGTTTATTAGAACTTTTTTTTTTTTATCTTTATTTTTTTATTTTTTTTTCATAGACCTCTTTCTCATTAAAATTAAAAACACACATACAATCAATTAATAATATAAATTAATTTATCCACTCACAAACTGTTCAACACTCTTATTACCAAAAAAAGGATAAATAAATAAATAAAAAAAAAGTGGATAATTAAATAATAACAATAAAAGAATATTTTACACCATATAACATAAAACTATATTAAATATTACCTTTGGCTAACTATTATAGTTGTTAACAATAGTGTCTAAATAACAACTTCATCATCATGATTATATTTTATATAAAATTTCAATAAAAAAAAATAATAAAATAAATAATAAAATAAAAAAAAATAAAAAAAAATAAAAAAAAAATAAAAAAAGCAAAAGCAAAACAATTTTAATAGATTTTGATTATTCCAAAATAATTAATTATAACAATATGTGTGTAAAAGTGGGTATAATTAATTATTTTTTTTTATTTCAAAATAAATTATTTTTATGTGTATAAATGTATTAATATGCAGAGTTTTAATTTTATATTTCAATACGTGTGCGTTGTGGGTTGGATTTATTAATTTTTCTTTTTTAAATATATTTTATTTTTTTTTTTTAAAAAAATTATATTATTTAATTTATATGATCAATAAACAAATATATTTTAAATTATATAATATTTATTCATTTTTTTTGGCTGTAGAATTTTGTATTTTTAAAAAAAAAAAAGATATCTCTTTTTCGAACTTTTAAAGATTTTTTTTTTTTCAAAATTTAAAATTTTTTTTTTCACCCCTTTTTTTTGCTAAGAAATTTATTTTATTGTCATTGTGGTTTGTGGTTTGGAAAAAAAAAAAAAAAAAATTTCCCACCTATATTTTTATTTTAAATAATTTAAAAGATTTAAATTATTATTTAAATAAATATATAATTTCTATATTTCAGAAAATTCTGGGGGTGTATTTGATCAAATCTAATACAAAAGCTGAATCCATCTTTCATCATCACAAAAATTTTTAAAGGATTGAAAAACGGAAAAGAAAAAATAATTTTAAAAAACCAAAAAATAAAAATTTTAATTTTTTTTATTTTTTATTTTTTAAAAAAAAGTTGTGTTTTGTAAAAAACAAAAAAGAAAAAAATCAATTAGTAAAAAGAAAATTTTATAAAATATATATTAATTTATTATTTTAAAAAATATTTTTATAAATAAATATTTAGTTTTAAAAAATATATTATTTAAATAAAAAAAAATTGTAATTGTAATTATATATAAACAAATCAAATTTCAACGCTAGTCCAAAACTCAACCAATCAAAATTATCCATTCACATAAAAAAACAAAGAAATCAACATTAGATTTAAAATAAATATATAAAAAATGACAGTTGTAGGTTTAGTAGTTCAACAACACGATGGAACAGTTCTTTTCCAAAATGTGTAAGTAAAAAAAAAAAACTATTCAATACCAAAATAAAAATCAAATATTAATAATTTTTTTTTTTGTTTAGCCGTGAATATTTATCTATAGAAAAAGCTCATCTCGCTGCTAAAGCTTTTAGAAACCAAATATCAGCATATGATGATACATCAATGTAAATATATAATTCATATTCATATTTTGATTTCCGATTTTAATACTAATATTTTTATTAAACAGAAAAAAAGGTGGTGTTCAACATTTAACAGGTTCAATAATTGTATTAAATATGTATAGAGTTTATTATATGATTTTAAATGAAATTTTTATATTGGCAATTTCACAAGCCAATGATAATCCATTTGAAGGACCAATTTATTTAGCAAGAGCTAAGAAAGTATTGTCGACAGTTTCAAAAGAATTAGTCCCTTCACAAATTACAAAGAAATATTTGGATGTTTCATTTTCATTAGAAAGAGTATTATTTGGAGAAGATGGTTTAGAGGTATTGACACAAAAAGTTAGTTCACCACATCAACTATTTAATCCATTTCAACAGCAACACCATCATCAAACTACAATTGGTATAAGTAATATAGTATCATCAACCCCAGTAATAACATCACCAATAACTATTGGAGGTCGTTTAGTTGATAATGCGTATAGTAACAGTAATTCGAATAGTCAACAATCAAACAGTAACAATATGTACATAAGCATACCCGCAACCCTTTCAACAATGATAAGTAATAATAATAGTATAGTTAGTAGTAGTAGTAATAATAGTTTAAATAATAGTAAAGATAATTTATCGAGCTTAACATCAAGTACAAGTAGTGGAAATTTAGCCTCTTTATCATATAATAGTATATCTTCAAGTATAAATAATCAAAACGACAATGATTTAGACAGCAATATATTACAATTTGAATCACTTTTAAACCTCGAAAACTTTCAAATACCCGACAAAATATTCACACAATCCAATCAATTACCAAAAGTTGACAAACATATTTATGATCCACCACAAACTATTAAATGGGGAAATCCATCGATTCAAAGTAACTCTGCCTCATCAACACGTTTAACTAATCGTATTATGTTTACATTACGTCATCCAAATGCTGCAAAGGAGGCCAAAGAAAGAGAATTAAAAGAGCAACAAGAAAAAGAATTAAAAGAGCAACAAGAAATTAATAATATGAATGCATCATCTGCAAGTTCATTCGTAAACAATGCTGGCGCCAATAACAATAATAACACCAATAACACTGGCTCATCTTCTGCCGGTAGTGCTTCAAACAAATCATCACCTTCAACTTCACCACTTTCAAGTTCCTATAACAATAATCCTTCTCCAAGCTCACCAGAAACTTCAAGTATGGATTATTCTTCAGTTGATAATATTAAATCTGATGAAAATGAATTACCCGAGACACCAAAAAGAAAATTCTCTCTATCAATGGGAACAATGCACAAACCAAATTTAAACAATAGTCAAAATCAAATAAATAACAATAACAATAACAATAACAACAATAATAATAATATAAATAATAATAGTGCTTCAGATAGTTCATCAGTTGCTCCACCTCCAGTTCCATTAGCAAATAAAAAAATGAATTTCCTCAATTTTTAATAATAATAACAACCCCCTTTTTATATTTTCTATATATAAATTATATATATCTTAAACATATATATAATTATTTGTATTTTTATCATATATTCAGCTAATACTATTAAAATTAGTATGGCTTTCAATTTTGATTAAAATTATAATAGTTATTAAATTTAATAAAAAAACATAAATTGTTATATTTTAAAAATAGTAATAGTTTATTAAATTGTCTAAAAATTAATTTTATTTATTTTTTTTAAATTAATTTTTTTTTTTTATTATTTTCCAAAGATACTGAATTCCATTGGACAATCGCCATTAAAAAAAAATTTAGAACATATTTCTAATTAGAGTTTATTTGATCAAAAGTTGAAAATGCAAATCCTATTGTTTTTTTTTTTATCATAAAATTTATTCTCAATATGATCACCAAACAATGTTTTTATTTTTTATTTTTTTTATTTTTTTTTAAATAAATAAGAAAATTTTAATATATGATCTATAAAGATTATAAAAGATTAAAATTTTGAAAGCTAAAAATAAAAAATTTAAATTAAAAAAAAAAAAAAAAAAAAAGAGTTTTTTTAAATTTTTTTTTATTTATTTTGACACACAACACAAACAAAAAAAGATGGAGCTGTGTGTTCATTAAATTAATATTTTAATAATTTCTAATTTAAATTTAAAAAAAAAACAAAATGTTTCATTTTAATTATTCACTCAGTTCACCAACTTATTACAATATTGTGTTTTATTTGTTCAAAAAAACAAACAGTTAACACCTTTTTTTTTTAAAATAATTAAATATTTTATATTTGTACATTGTTATTATTGTTGGGTGTTTTTTAATCATAATAATTGCATATAAATTCTAAAACATTTTTATTTAATTGTTTTAATTGACTCTAAAAAGTAAATGAAATTACTTACACACACCCACACACCTAAATAGATATACACACACAAATACACACATATAAATAAATTTTCCATATAGAATAATTGGGTGTGAGTTTATAAATATTTTTACACACCAAAACACACAGATTTAAGACACAAACATATATATATTTTTTTTTAATATCTTTATATAGTTTAAATATATCACAACATTGAAAATAATATGTTTCGTTCTTTGTAAATAAAAATAAAAATAATAATTAAAAATAATAATATTTTTTTGTAATTAAAGGGAAAAATATACAAAAATTTTTCTTTATTTTGTTATTTTAAAATAATAAAAAAAAAAAAAATAAAAAAAATAAAAAAAAAAGAAAATAGAATAAATAATAAATAAAATAAAATAAAAAATAATAAAATAATAAAATAATAATAATAATAATAATAATAAATATTAGATTGTATATTTTCTATAGAATTTAAATAGTAACAACTATTTAAAACTTTAAATCATTTTAATAAAACAATTATAACTAATTAAATAATAAAATTTACTTATTTGAAATAATAAAATAAACAAATCTTGGATGGTTTTTTTTATATAGTTTATCTCTTATTATTATTTTACAAAAAAAAAAAAAAAAAAAAAAAAAAAAATAAAATAAAATAAAAATAATAAATTTAATACTATTTTTTATATTTAAAAAAAATAAATAAACAATTATTACTTTTTTTATTTTATTTCAAATTTAGTAACCTCAAATAATATACAAAAATATAATAATATATAAAATTATTAAAAAATCAAGTATTTATAATAAAAAATAAAATAATTATTATAAAAAATAAAAAAATAAAAATTAATTTTAAAAAATTAATTTAAAAAATAAATAAATAAAAAAAAAATGTTAAAAGACTCATTTTCATCAATTTTTCAATGGACAATAGAGAAATATAACTCAAGTAATAATACAAATAATAGTGTAAATAATAATAATAATAATAATAATACTAATAACAATAATAATTGTAATAATAGTAATAAAACAATGAATGGGGAATCTTCACCATTACAAACATCATTGTCGACATCGCCATATATGAACTCACCATCTTTGTCATCTAATGAAAGTCCTTTGGCCACTAGTGGATATTTGATCGAGGAGGACTCTTTCGATGGATTACACCAACAAGAGAAAAAAATAAAAAAAATACACAGTCTAACAATGGAGTTAAAATCGACACCAAACTTATCACCACAATCACCCATAATATCTACACCTACCATTAATAGCAGCAATAATAATAGCACATCATCCACATCGTCCCCAATTAATATTCCGGATAGTTACCATAGTGACCAATGTGTGCCAATGGCAATTGATTTAACATTTATGGATCAAAGCTCCCCTTCTTCAACATGTGGTTTTTTAAATAAATTCAATTCGAACAGCAACTCTATAAATACAAGCGGTGAAAGCATTAGTTTTATATCAAACCCATTCCAATTTTTCAAATCAATAGCATCATTTAAAAAAGATAATAATGTAGAAATAAATATAAATAAAAATAGCTTTAGTGATAACATTGATTCATATATACAAACAAATGGAAAAATAAATAAAAATACCAATAACTCAATAACTATCGAAGATTTACCATTAGAGATCATTGTACACATATTCAGCTTTTTAGAATTTGATGATATTTGTCTAAGAACATCTTTAATAAATAAAAATTTTAAAGAAATTTCAGACTATTATCCAATCTGGAAACCACTTTATTATAGAAAATACGCAAATCAAATCAAAAATAAAAAAAACAAACTATTTAATATAGACATAAACTCAATTAATAAAACCACTTCAATTAATAGCGATATTAATATGGATAATAGAAATATAAATAACAGTGATATTTTAAATAAAAAGCTTTTATTTAATATAAATTTAAATAACAGTAATAATAGCAATAAAGAAAAAGAAACAGTTAAAGATTACAAACAACTCTATAAAAAGAGAAATATTGTTGAAAAGAATTGGAAAAAAGGTATCTGCTCAGTTCAAACGTTATATGGGCACCAAGATGGGGTTTGGGGTGTTCAATTTCATGGTGACACTCTAGTTAGCTGTTGTGAAGATGGTGTTATGAAGGTCTGGGATATAAACGAAGGCGAATGTTTAAATACTTTAATAGGACATACTGATGTAGTAAACTCTTTTCATTTTGAGGGTGAGCGTGTTGTAAGCGGATCTGATGACTCAACTTTAAAAATGTGGAACTCATCAACCGGCCAATGTATGAACACTTTCAATGGCCACCTTGGCTCAGTTTGGATGCTCGAGTTTAAAGATAATTGGTTAGTAAGTGGCGGCGATGATAGGATGGTCAGGGTATGGGATACAAATACAGGCCAACAGGTTCAAACACTAGAAGGTCATACTGGTAGAATTTATTATGTTCAAATGGGTAATAATCTTGTTGTAAGCGGTGCACAAGATCGATCATGTAGAGTTTGGGATTTACGTTCAGGTACCGCTGTTCATTCAATGGTATCAAACTCACCTGTACATTGTCTTCAAATAGATGGTAACTTATGGTCCGGTGATTGGGCTGTTGCTACTGGCCATAATAACGGCTCAATTGGTGTATGGAATATAAGAACAGGCACATTGCAAGCAATTCTATCTAACCCAGTTTGCTGCCCAGTTTGGCATATTCAATTTAGAAACAATATAATTTACACATCATCATGCAATGATCTATTCTCTTGGAATTTAAATGTTGCTGTATCAGATTCAAACAATGTAACAACCGAATTAACCTCAAACAAAGTTTTTAAAGGACACACAAAATCAATTAAACATTTCCAAGTTAAGGACAGTAGATTGGTTTCTGGTGGATGTGATAACAAAATCAAAGTATGGGATTTAGATAAACCAGGAAATAACTATCTTTATACTTTGGTAGGCCATACCAAGAGCGTAGACTGGTTAGAGTTCAAAAAAGACAAATTAATTAGTTGCTCAGCGGATCATACAATCAGGGTTTGGGATTTTTATTCCTAAACAATTTTAAATTATATATAATCGAATTAAATAATTAATAATTTATATAAAACTATTAATTAATGTGTATATATTAAAAAAAAAAAAAAAAAAAAATTAAAATAAAATTTATTTATAATTTTTAAAAATTTTTTTAGATTTTAGAAAAATGATTCTCTCTTATCTCTATTTTTATTTTATTTCTTTTTTAAACCTCTTGGAACCAAAAGTGTTGGCTTTTTAGTTGGAATTTCAAGAGTGTCTATATTTGTTGAATATGTTGATGGTGTTGCTGTTGCTGTTGACGAGGATGGTGGTTTTGATAAATATACATTAATGTGATTACCCATAAAATATTTACCATTAACGGCAATGGCAGCTTTTAAATTTTCCTTATCTATTAAATCCATATAAGCAAATGGTCTTGCCTTCATTACAAGTCTAAGATCCTTAATTCCTTTGACACCGTTACTTTGGAAAAATGCTTCTAGTTTATCTTTTGTTAATTTATTTGATAGATTGTTGATAAACACAGTTAAACCAGATACATTTTCATAATCGATGTTGTCATGTGTATTTTGATGCTGTTGTTGTGGATTATTTGAATCTTTTGCAAACTGTACAGAAATTGGTCTATCACCAACTTTAGTTTGGTTAAGTTCCAAAGATTTTTGGGCCATTTCATGGGTTGCAAATGTAATAAAAGCCAAACCTTTAGATTTACCATTTCTATCTAAAACCAAAGCTGTATGCTTAATATCACCATATTTATCAAACAATTCTTTTAATTCTCTTTCACTTGTTTCAAAAGGTAAATTGAAGATAATAATTTTGTTTGGTAAATTTGGTTCCTTTTCTTTTTCTTTTTCCTTTTCCTTTTCTTTTTCCTTTTCTTTTTCCTTTTCTTTTTCTTTTTCTTTCTCTTTCTCTTTCTCTTTTCCTTTTCCTTTTTGTTTTTTTTCGTCTGGTTGTTGCTCTTTTTTATTTGTGCTTGGTTCTGGTTGTTTTTTATTTGTTTGTTTTTCACTATTACCATTTTCTTCAGCTTTCTGTTTTTTTGATTTTCTTTTTGTGTCAGTTTCATTACCACCTTTTCTTTTCTTTTCAACTTCTTTTTCTTTTGTTTGATTTTTTTGTACGAATTTTTCTTGTTCCTGTTGATGTTTATATTCGAGCTTGCTATGTTGATCGATGGTGTATTCATAATTATCTAATGTTCCGAATAATCTTTCAAATTCCATCCAATCTTGCCATATTCTTGATGCAGGGTCATCAAATTTGATACCATGCGAAGCACGTTTATATAATTCTCTAACAAAATCAAAGTTCTTGAAGGCCATTTCGAATTGAATATATTGGCTCCATATCCAGTATTTTGTGTGATCTACTGATTCCAGAATATAATTTAAAATCTCTCTGTATCTTTGATAGTCCCCAAAATGCTCTAATTCAAACCTGGCTATATACATATATCTGTCTATGGCTGTATAGTTTGTGGTATCAATAGATGACATATAGTTGTTCATAGTTTCGAATAGTGTTTTAATTTCTTGTTTTGATTCTTCAGAGATGATAATCATTTGGCCTTCGGACTGTGGTGGTTGTTGATTCTTTTCTCTTTCTTGAATATATCTCCAACAATAATCTATATATGTATTATAAACTAATTGATAATCATGGGCAGTTTGCAAACCAGAATATAAAGCTCTTTGGAAGGTTGAATCCATTTCTTCTTTTGTTGTAGCTGGATTATGTTGCAATAAACGAAGGTATTGGGACCAGTGATCACCTGAATAATAAATTGAACGTAATGATCTTGAGAATACTTTAAAATACATTTCCTTTGATTTTAGTGTCCTTTCTATAAAACCTAAATACATTCTCCACAATGGGAAGAAATTTGGAAAATACTTTAATTCACGTTCAAACAAGGTAACTACTCTTGAGGGCTTTCCATTTTTTTTCTCAAAGTCTAAATACTCTTTCCATTTTTTATTATCTAAATAATTGGTTTCTTTTAATGCCTGCTCGAATGGTAAACGTTCATTGAACTCTTTTAATGCCTGTTTATATTTATTTTGTAATTCCACATTTGATGAAACTGACTGTCTTTTATCTTGTGGTTGCGATTCTTCCCATTGCTCGTAATCTTTATAAAGCTCCTCTAAACCACTGATTGGCTCTGAAAGCTGTAATTGATATAAATTTCTAATAACACCAACTTGTTTATCAATTTCATCTTGATTTTCGATTTGTGATAGTCTCATTTGTTCAAACAATCTATATTGAGCCCATAATAAGTGTGCGTCCATAACATCACCACCACATATCTTTAGTGATCTTTCAAACTGCTCTCTAACTTCTTCATTTGATTTGACTTTGATTAAAAATTTACAATATGAAACATTAATTCTAACACCTAAAAGTAAAAATTAATAAAAAAATAAAAATATTAATATTAGATCAATAAATGTAAAAAATTAAAAATGTATACTTACTTATAAAATCATCCAATGCTTTTTCATATAGGGATAATATATATTGTTTATCTTCATCAGTTTTCATCAGTTTTTGCTCATCATTGAACCATGGTAACCAAACCTCCTCTGTTAATGGGAAAATGGCTTGAAATTTTTCTCTGGCCTCTTTTAATGTTTGGTAGTTGGTGTGATTTGTAATTTTTGATAAAGCTTTGATATACTCTAAATTTTTGTCATAGTTATATGGATCTTCTCTTAACTTAATTTCAAGATAGCCTACCTCTAAACTTTCAGTTGAATTTGCATCGACAACAATTTCATCACTGCTGTCATCTTCATCACTACTGCTTAAGTCATCACTACTGATATCATCATATTGTTGTTGTTGCTGTTGTTGTTCTAAATCTTTAAAATCTTCATCTTCTGACATTCTACTATTCAATTTAATTTAATTTATTACAAATAATTACAATAATTAAAAAATTATTAATTAAAAAAAAAAAAAAAAATTACTTATTTTTGAAATTTTTACAATAAAAAAAAAAATTTTAAAAAAAAATATAAAATTAATTAAAAAAAAAAAAACAGATAACAAATTAATATATTATTATTAGATATTAAACTTCCAAATGGTAAAATCATAATTTGGATATTATGTTATATTTTTAAAGCAACATTTGTATTTACCATTTTAAATTTGATCTTACAGGAATTTTTCGAACTTCAAATGGACAAAATTGCTAAAAATAAAACAATAAATGGGATTAAAAAAAAAAAAAATTAAATAAATAAAAAACGAAAAAAAAAAAAAAAAAAATTTTTTTAAAATTTTTTAATTTTTTTTTTTTTTTAATATTTTTTTTAAATATTTTAAAGTAAAATTTTTTAAATTATTTTGTATTAAGCTTGTTTTAGGTTGACTAATTAATTAGTTTAATAATAAAATAAATATAAATAATATATATAATTATATAGTGTGTATATATATATATAAATAAATAATTTTTCATTTTTTTTTAAAAAGCGCATACAAAATATTATAATAGGAAAAATTAATATATATTTATTTTTAAATAAAATAAAAATAATTTTTTCATATAAAAATAATTTTTTGTTCATCAATACATAAATAATATAAATAATCAATAATTAAATACATAAATAAATAGTATATAAAATGAATTTTACAGATCAAATGGAAATTCAAGAAAAGAGTAACCAAACTCCAAAGGTACATAAATTAGATACAACATGGACACTTTTCACAGATAAAAAACAATTTAGCTCAGTTCAAGCCACCTCCCACGATGACTATTTATCAACTTTAACAAATTTAGGTACATTTTCTTCTGTATGTGTTATAGGTTTTATTTAAAATAACAACAACAACAAAAAATATATTTTTTTAAAGAATGAATCTAGATTGATTCTTTTAAAAATATAAAAAATATAATATCGATTGAGATATTAATATAAAATTTTTTTTTTTCCTCATAGGTCGAAGATTTTTGGAGTTTTTATCATCAACTTCAAAGACCATCAAAAATGGCACCAGATACTACATATCATTTATTTAAATGTGGAATTAACCCAACATGGGAAGATCCAGAAAATATTAAAGGCGGTAAATGGGTTCTCACTTTCCAAAAAAATACAAGATTTATTTTTAATGTTGATTTAATATGGGAAGATATTGTTTTGGGTGTTGTTGGTGAAACCATTGATCCAGAAAGAGAAATCTGTGGTATTGTACTTAGTAAACGTGATCAAGCCGAAAGAATAGCAATTTGGACCAAAGATTGCACAAACCAAAAGGTTATTGATCAACTTAAAACAAATATTTACAATACTATTTCATCCGCTTGTCAAGGTGTTGACCTTACTAAATTAAATCTTAGATATCAACCACATAGCAATACACTTTCATCCTCCTCATCCACCCCAACCATCACCCCTTCAACTTCCTCAACCTCACTTTCTTCTTTAGCAAATTCAAATTCAAACACTCCATTTTATAAATCAAATCAAAATAATAGTAATAATAATTTAAATAGTTTAGTTGCAGGTTTAAATAATCCACAACAAAGTAATCAAAATGGTTTGGACACAAGTAAAGATAATAACACAACAGTTTCAAGTAATAATAATGCAAATTCCGCTTCAACCACACCAACTACTGAATCTTCTTAAAATCAATTACTGCTTTGATTATAATAATAATTTTTTTTTTTTTATAAAAAAAAAATTCAAGTTCCTCTGGTTCCACCGTTTAACAACAACATTCCCAATCCTATTTATAAAATATACACCATAATTATTATATTATATTAAAATAATAACTCTAATATAATCTTAATAAAACAAACTTAATAAAACTTTTTTTTTTTTTTTAAAAAAAAAAAATAAAAAAAAAGGAAAACTATTTTTTTAAATTAAAAAAACAAATATTATCTGTTTCTTTTTTTATTATTTGTTACTAAAAAAAAAAATAAAGTAAATTCTATTTTAATTGTTTATTAGCTTAGTTTTGATGTCTGTTAATTGGAACCCACTAGATATATTATTATAATCGATTTAGTATGAATGTTTATTTTGGGATTATATCGAATAGTGTTGTAAATATATATTATATTAATAGTTTAATACTAATACTTACTTTTGGGGCATCAGTGAATAATCTCATTGCATGGATTTTTCTAGTTTCATCTAATGTGAAACGATGATACATGTTTGCTGGCTAATTATTGGGTATTATTGTGTTAATATTTTTTATTGTAATTATTGTATTTTTATATCCATATTAATATTATTGTAAAATACAAATAAAATTAGTAAATTGTTATTTTTAAAAAAAGTATTACAATATTAAAAAATGGGGGTTGGTAAGATATTCTTTATACATACAACAATAATTAAATCACCCTTTTCAACTCTAATTCTAATCCATTTATCATTTTTGTCTCTAACATCAAAAAATCCACAACCGTCTAAAATAAATCTAATTTCTTCGTCGTCATGTAAATGTCTAAAAAAAAAAATTAGATTAAAAAATATATAAAAAAAGGAAGATAATTGGCCAATACATACTCTTCAAAAAATATTTTTAATTTATCTTCTAAGCCTGGAGTTTCTTTATTTAATTTAACTTCATCTCTATTCTTGTATCCTCTTTCTTTGCACAATTGCTCTAAAGGTTCTTTATAGTTATCGTTTTCCATATCCATTGGGAAATATAAAACATTGTGTTCTTTTAAATAGTCAAGTGATACAACATCTTCTTGGTTATCGTAAAAATAACTTTTCATTTTATTTATTAAATTGGGCTATGAAATAAATTAATTAATAAAAAAAAAGAAAGAAAAAAAATAAAAAAAAGATAAAAAAAATGAAAAAAATAAAAATTTTAATTTTTATTTTAATTTTTTTTTTTAAAATAATAATTATTGTTTATGTGAATGGCGGCATATAAATATTATATTTTTTTATTAAATTAATTTTGCAATATTTTATCTATAAAATCTATTTTTGTTATAAAATGACAATTTTTGGTTATTTTTTTAGTGATAGCATACAATTAATTTAAAAGTAATATGATTTTTAAAATAATGATTTTAAGGAATGCTGGAAAATGTTAATTATAATGGTAAAAATTAAAAATTATAATTATAATTATTATTATTATTATTTGGGTTTAAAAATACACATTGTGATATCACCTTAACACTTTATTAAAATAGCACACTATTATAAAATAGACAAAATAGTTTTTTTCACACACCATACTTTTTCGAATAAATATTTTTAAATTTAAATTTAATTTAGTTGTTATTATAAATATTTTTTTATTTATTTCTATTTATTTATTATTTAATTCCCAAATTTGTGTGTTGTATATATACTTGTAGAAAATATATTTATTTTCGCTCCCACTAACACCACACAATTTCAAAAATATAATTACCCCCCTTTTTTTTTTTATTTCTTTTTTTTTTATTTTTTTTTTTATTATTTTATTTTAAACAAAAATAGAAATTTTAAAAAATATTATAATGTGTGTGTGTGACTTTATATACACAATAATAGAATATTTTAGTAGTAATAAATTATAAACGTGTGTTTTATATTATATTATATTTTTATTTTTTATGTTAATATTTTTGTTTTTAAATTATATACAATATTTTCTTAAATAATAGTAAATAAATAAACTGTACACATATTAAATAAAATCGATAATCAAAACCTTTTTTTTTTTAAAAATATTTTTTTTAGTTGAAAATCTCTAAAAGGGAATCTAGAAGAATTTAAATTAATTTTATACAATTCAGTTATTACCATATTAATCTATTAGGTGTATGTTTTGTTATTATCTTTAATTGAACACAAAATACATTTTGTTTGGTTTTTCTTTCCCTCACTATCACACAACACAATTTAAATTAAATTTAAATTAATTTATTATAATAGTAGAAATCAAAAGAATAGTACAATAATAGTGCAAATATATACTACATAGGAGTTAAAAATAAAATATTTTATCATTTTTTTTTTTTTTTTTTTTAAATCTTTTTTTATATTTAATATATCTCTTTTTTTTATTTTTTTTTTATAATTTTTATTTGTTTTTTATTTTCCCCATTAGTAGTGATTTGTTTATAATTAATTATTATATAATAATACCATAATTCTATTTTTATATTTTTTATTAACAATATTTATTTTTATTTTAGGTGCATAAATATATAATAGCATAATATAGATAATAATAAAATAGAAAACATAAATACATTTTTAATAATTTTATATAAAATATTCACTTTATACCCCAAAAATCTATAATATACAACTATTATTTAATTATTTATATTTTTTTTTTTTTTTTTTTTAAAAGATATTTTTGAAAAGAAAAAAAGAAGATCAATATGGAATTATAGTTAATAAATTAAAAGTCATTCAGTTTTAATAACCAATAATAATAATAAAATATATAACAACTACCACAAAAAATATATATTATTTTTTCCTATTATTATAAGTTAATTTATTTTTAAAATTTTTTTCACATTTTTAAAAAATTATCATACACTTTGATATTAAATATACTATTAATAAAATAGTAGTTTCATATATAATATAATAATGGAGGATAATAGTAATAGTAATAGTAATAGTAGTAATAATAATAGTAATAATAATAATAACAGTAGTAATAATAGCTCAAATAAAAATGAAAGCCCAAATAAGAATGGATCATTTGTTAAAGGTTTAGTTGATAGTTTAAATAAATCCACCCAGATCATAAAAAATAAAATAGGTCACCATCATAGTCACAGCAGTTCAAATAGCGGCGATGAATCTGGTTCAGGGAATAGTAAAAATTTATATAGAAAAACAAATAGTACTAATAATACAGAAAACAATGGTAACAGCAGTAACATTAACAATAGCAATAGTATTGATGATGTTAACAATAACACAAATTCAAACTCTACACCAGTTTCTACAAATACAACACCTACAAATAATAACAGTCCTATAAATTTAAGAAGAAGTAGGGTAAATAGTGAAGGCGGGACAGCAAATAATAGTCCAAGTAAAAACAGCAATAATAATACTTGTGGATCGACAGCATCAATTAATAAAAATGCATCAAGTTCTATAAAATCAATTGCAAATAGTTTTAATTCAAATGTTAATAAATCTTCAGAGAATTTAAATTCGAGTAGTGAAAATGTTTCACCACAGTCAGCAAATCCCACTTCGGTCACACCTAATATAGTTTCTTCACCAACAAACACCAGTCAATATAAATCAGAAAATTCATTACAATCTCAAACTACAAATTTTTTAAATAGGTCAAACGATAAAATATTGTTAAATAAATTTCCATCGAACCCCAACCTAAATAAAGAGTTAACAGAGTTACAACAACATAAACAAAAGCAGCAACAAATTCTACAGGACTATGAAAAATCATTAAAAGAGAAAATTCAGAATTGGGCAACTTTAAAATCAAATTATAAAAATAAAATTAATGACATTGAATTAAATCAAATTGAAACTTCTTTTGGAAGAGGGGAGGGATCAGATCATACATTCAATGACAAAACTGTATCAATAAAACATTTTACTATAACATTACAAAAAACTTTACTACCATATGGAATCAACTCTCCAGTTCCATCATCTACATCAAGCTCACCCAAACCCACCGAGGATATAATAACAACATTTTCAGAAAGCTCCGAAGTTTCAATAGAGAGTGGAATCTCTTCATCGACTAATAATGGAAGCGATTCATGTGTTTCAGCAAGTCATTTAAATTCGAATCAAAGTATGAAGTCATCTTCATGTTCATCTCCTGGTAACACATTCAATAAATGCATGGAATTTTTAATTATATATATAGAAGATCATAGTACAAATGGTACATTTATAAACGGTACCCAGTTAAAGAGGGGCGAAAAAGTTCAATTAGAAGAAAAATCAGTTATTTCCTTATCTACACCAGATTCAAATTCATTATCCTTTACATTTGAAAGCAAAATCAACCAATTATCAGACGAAGAAAAATCGAAATTATTAAAAGTAATTCAAATTAAACCGACAGATTTAGATACACCCGAATCATCTCAACAAAATACCCCCAAATCAGGTAGTGGAATTGTAATAGCTGGAAAGAGAATTGTTAGATCAGGTTCATTTAAAAATCCGTCCCAAAACAAACCAGAACAGTTTACCAGTTTATTAAAGATGGACCCAGGATTAAAGAATTTACAATTATTAAATCAATGTATAAAATCAAATGATGATCAATGGAGAGAACAATTAATAGCCACTGATACAATTTCTTTGGTTGTAGATATAATATCTCATAATAATAAGAAATCTAAATTTAATGAATTGGATTTGCAAATAGATATCGAAGCAATTGGTATATTGTCATTGTTATCGAAATTACCTGTAAGTTTGGGAATTTAAGTTAATTATAACTGTACTTACTAAACACAATATTAACAATTGTTTTTTAATTAATTCTTAATAGAGTGGAATCAAACAAATATCAAAATCCCATGAAAATAGTTTTACAGATTTATCATTGGTATTAATTAATTCTTTACATCAATCGAAAATAAAAACATTATTGTTACAGTTATTTATAGCATTAAGCCTAAATGAAGTTTCAAATAGAATGATTTTATCATCAATAGAAAAAATTCAAAATATTAAGAGAGATAGATTAAAATTCAAATGGTTCTTTGAAAGTATGGTGTTTGAATCGGATTCAGATTATAAATTGTATAGTATAACTTTAATAAATAGTTTAATTGTGGGTTGCAAGAATGTTCAGTCAAAATCAAAAATAAAATCAGAATTAGAAAGTTTAGGTTTACAAAAAATTCAAGACTTGTTAATGTTTGAAAATTCTAGAGAAATGGGAATTCAAATAAATAAGTTTAATAGCTTTTTCAATAACAGTGAAAGTAGTAGCGGCTCTAATCAAAAGAATTTCAATTGTAAAACTTTAAATTTGAAAGATCCAATCTCTCTATGTTTATTATTACAAAACGAATTAAAAGAATCACAGCTATCCAAGTTACCAACATCACCATCAGCGAAAGAAAAAGATTCGCCGCAAGAAATAGAGCAAGCTAATTCATCTACATTTACATCAATTTTAAATGATTTATATACAATTACAAACAATACCAGTAGTAAAGAAACTAAAAATATTGATCCAGCTTTAGCTCTAAATTTATTATCCGATTTTGCAAAAACAATTTCAAATGCCTTAACAAATGAAGACGGTAACTATTTATTGATTACATATTTCTAATTTAAAATAATAATACTAATTTTAATTGTTTTTAAAAATAGAATATAAAAAATCTTTGCCACTATTAGAGGAGAAATTTAAAAAATTACCAGGTTGTTCAATGGTCCCAAAGTCAGAGACGGGAGGTATTTCAAATAATACAGAAATAAAACCTTCAGCTCCACCACCTCCACCAGCGGCAGTTAAAGATGAAGATAAAACAAATAATACTCCGACAGCTGACCCACCACCAGCTACAGATTTAAATGAAAAAAAAGAAGAATCAACCTCATCTGCTCCACCACCACCAGCTCCAGCTCCGCCACCAGCTCCACCACCACCTCCAGTCAAAGGTGGCGCATCAAGTGGAGGACCTCCTCCACCTCCTCCACCCCCAGTCAAAGGGGGTCCACCACCACCCCCACCACCACCGGGTGGTAAAGCTGTATCAAAAGTTAAAGAAGAGGTTCCAAGTGTACCAATGAAACAGCTTTTTTGGAGCAAAATAACAGCAAATAAAACCTCTAAAACAGTTTGGGAGGATAAAGTAGAAAAAATTGAATTAGATAAACCACAGCTTGAAACTCTATTTTGTCAAAAAAAAGTTACAGCCAAATCAAATGAAAAAGCTAGTGAAGAAAAAATCAAAGTTAGTTTAATTGACCAAAGAAGATCACAGAACATTGGAATTTTATTATCAAAATTCAAGTTAACACCAATTTGGGTAATTGATTGTTTAACTTCGATGGATGAAAAGAAACTTACAAAAGATTTGGTTAATGTTTTAATTAAATGTGTTCCAAATCCCGAGGAAGAAGAACTTTTAAAAAAGTTTGAGGGGGATAAAAACACTCTTTCCCCAATTGATCAGTTCCTCATGGAAACTTTAAAAGTACCAAAAATTAGAGAAAGATTGGATTGTATAGTTTATAAAACACAATTTGACACATTAATTCAAGAAGTGATTGTTGGTGCCAAGCTCGTAGAAAGTGTTAGTAATTCAATAATGAAATCTACTCCATTCAAAGGTTTGCTTCACATAATCCTCAGGGTCGGTAATTATATGAATGCTGGTTCAAGTAGAGGTGGTGCCAATGGTTTTAAAATGAAATTTATTTTAACTATCTCAAATACCAAGTCATTAGATAATAAATCTACACTCTTAAACTATATTGTCCAATTTGTATCTGAAAAGTACCCAGATTTTTTAGTTACAAACTCAACAATACCACAATTAGAAGCGGCGTCTAGAATTGTATGGAGTGAACTATTGGGTCAATTCGAGCAATTAAAAGTCGGTATGTCAACAGTACAAAAAGAATTAGATCTCCAAATTAAACAAATAGGTAGTGATAATTTTACCAATAAGTTCAAGAAATTTACTGCATCAAAAACTCCTCATCTAGATAGTTTACAAATTTTTATTAAACAGGTCGAAGAGACATTCCAATCGGCAATGAAATATTTTTGTGAAGATAGTATGCAACCAGAAGAATTTTTCCAAACCATTTTCAATTTTATTAATCAAGTGGTAAAATCTCATAAGGAAAATGAAGATATTAGAATTGCTAAATTACCTAAATCAAAGAAATACTCTGATTCAAAGAATAAAGATAAAGGTAAAAGTAACTCAAATAATAAACAAAGTATTGTTTCAGTTGTTCCATCAAACGATGAGGCCTCGTCATCAACAATTGATAAGAACCTTAAAAAGAATGACAGTGCACATAATGACTCACCAAAATTAAAATTCCTATCAAAATTAAGAAAGAAAAAAGCTGGAAAAGAATCAAATGATGATCAATCTGACCCAACTTCATTACCTGCCTCTCCATCCGCATTCTCACCAATTATGAAGCAAAATAATAGTAGTAGTAATAACAAATCTTTCCTATCATCTATTTCACCTATCTTTAGATCACCTAAATTTAAAGTTTCATCGATATCACCAAAATTAAGAGCTAAACTTAATTCAATTTCAAAATCATTTGGTAAAGATAGATCATCTCCTTCAATGTCACCATTCACATCAGAAAATATAAGTGAAAAAGCTTCAATTTATGATAAGAGTGTCCAAGCTTCTAATGCATCATCAAGTAATAAAAATGAATTAAAGAAAGAATTAAATGAAATTAAATCAAACTCAATAGAAAAATATAAAACAATTTTTAATAACAATAACAATAACAATAATAACAATACTAATGAAAAACATGGTCATACTAAATCGCTTTCTACTGGTGGTTCAAAGAAAAGAGTTCCATTATTACCAAATACTCAAGATATAGGACCCAAAACTCATTCTAGATCAACCTCATATTCGCCAAATAGTAAAATTAATTCTCAATTAATGTCAAATCCATTTATTATGTTAGAGCAAAAACAAAAAGAAGAAAAAGAAAATAAACCAATTGATAATGGAAAGCCAACTATTCCAAAAATGTGGTCACTTAAACCAAATGCAGCTAATAAAAACATTGATAATACTACCAACACTAATACTACCAACACTAATAATAACAACATTAATAATAACAACATTAATAATAGTATCAATAACAAAAATATTAGTAACCATAATAATGAAGCAGTTGCTAAATTAAATTCAAACGAAAATGTTAAAGATTTTAGAGATATTAAATTAAAAACAACAGGAGTTATTGAAGAAGAAAGAAAACAATATTCACAAAGACAATTTAAAACTTATGGTACTGCTTCAGGTAGAAAAACAAATTTATCAACTAATAAATTTAGAAATAGTTTACGTCCATTCCATGCTAGACAATTAAATGATAGTGGTAGTAGCATTAGTAGTATAGGAACAAGTGTTGGAAGTATTAGTAGTTTTGGTAGTAGTTTAAACAATTCGCCAAATACCTTTGGTGATTCTTTTGAAATGTTCCAAAGAGAAAGTAATATTAAAATTGGATCTATTAAACAAAAACTACTATTAAAACAAACCCAACTAAAACCAACTAGAACTGATTCTTCAAGAATTAAAAGAGGAAACAATGTTGCCCATAAAGTTAAACAGGTTGAAAACACAAGTCCAGTTTCAAACTCACCACCTAAATCAAATCTTAGTGCAGTTCGTCGTCGTAATAACTCAATAAACAGAAAGTCCTCCAATTCCTCTATTAAATCAAATACTTACAGTACTATTACAAGCACTATAAGTACATTATCTGAAAGATCAATTAATGATGATGCTCCAAACCCAATTTCACATAATAACAAGGTCTTATTAAATACAAACCCAATAGAACCATTATTTAAACTACACAAAGTAAACATAAATGATAGTGCAAATATTAATTCAAATAGCAGTACAAATAACTTGGATAATAATAATAAAACTAATCAATCTAAAGATAATTCTCCAAGTACAAAGAACATATTAATATCACCGGTATCTGCTACTTCAAACTCTTCAAACTCTTCAAATTCTGTTAGAGCAACCATTTCTCCAAAAACTATTGAAAATGGTTCAGTCGCTTCCTCCTCATCAACAAGTACCCCAGCTTCTCAACAATCAGACTATTCATCTATCGATAAAACATCTTCATCATCCTCACCCCAATCAATGGCCTTCTTAAGACCAACATTAAAGAGTGTTTCTAAACAAAACAATGGTTCAAACATTCCATCATCTGCCTCTACCTTCAGTGGTTCTAATAATTCATCACCAACCAGTGATAATTTAAATAGTAATAACAATACAACTTTTAATAGAAAGACACCAGAAATTGTTACTCCACCTACCACTGCACCAAAATTAAAGAAGGAAATCAAATTTACAAACACAGTATCAAATAATGTTTATACCTCTCCTCCTAAAGAGAATACATTTGCTAATATTTTCAAATCAAAGAACCATAAGAAATCACATTCATATGCTGTAAATGAAAAACCAAATAGACCAGAAGATTATTATGAGGATACTAATATGAACGTTGAGGATTATCCATCATCAGCTAATACATCTTCATCTGTAATGCCATCAGATTTATTACCACCACAACACCCTGGTAGGTCAAGTGAAAAGTTTAAAAAACCTAAAAAAGCAATTAACAAGATAAAAGATTTCTCAAAGAAACTATTTTCGCATAAAAAATCCAAATCAGTGGACTCAATACCAGGAAATATTAGTAACAATGAAACAACGACCCCAGGCCACAAACATTCACAATCATTAGATGAGTCCCCAACTATACCAGTTCATAATCCATCACCGCCATTAAAAATTAATAGTAATGATTCATCACCATCATCCTCAAAGCTATCTTCAAGCTCGTCACCTGGTGGATCATCAGTTTCATCTAAATTATCACCTGGTGGATCCTCAACAACCTCATCTCAAAAGACCCCAGATTATTTTGACTCTAAAAAGATCTTAACCCCCGAACAACTAGGAATTTCAAAATTTGATGTCCCAATGGTTATATCAATCCCATCAAACATACCAATATCAAAATGTTAATATGTATTATATTAAGTTAAAAATAAATCAATTTAGATTCCAATAAAAAATATTTAAATAGACTATTTTATTTATATATAAAAAAACTTTTATTATTTATATTTCTTTATTAATTTTATTTATATTACTAATTATTGTTTAACCAATTAAAATATTTATAATCCAGAGGATAGTAAAATTTACATAATTTTTCGATATCTCCTTTTAAATAGACCATAAAACTATATTTTAAATAATAGTATTCGATAATATGAACATTCTTGTTTGCCAATGTATTGTCAATGTTATCAATGGTTAGGATGATATCTTCTTCTGGAAAATGTTCCTCTATTAACAGACACAAAGAGATGAACCCATTTTCGAAAGCGGCTTCAAACCATTGTTTGTCATAATTGCCAAATTTATCTTTATGGTTTTTAAACATAAACTCTACAATATCATATTGGTTAGTTCTAAACAAAAATGTTTTATCTGTTTTTATTGGTTTGACTTTATAATTTTCCATAATTATTTTGATTAAATCTAACCTGCTTTCATTAAATGACTAAAGATAATATTAGTAATTAATAGTTTAATTTTCTTTTTTTTTTGTACTTACAGTTTCTAATAGTTTATTTTCTAAAGATTTAATATCTAAATCTAAAATCTTTTTCAATGATTTTGTATCGATGGTTTGAATTAAAAATTGCTTTGTTCTTTCCTTTAAAGTTTTTGAATTTATTTCGATTACTTCTTGAGAATGTTTCAATAATTTCACTATAAGATGAAATTGTAAATAGGTACTTAGAAACTCTATGTCTTGATTTAAACTGAATTTCATTTCTTCCTCCTTTTCATCGGTAAAGCTTTTATCGTCATCTATTAACTCTTCTACTTTTTTTTCGTTGCTAAAATCTGGATTTAGCATTACTAAATTTCTTAATAAATAGTAAACATCTTGAAAACTATTTTTTTTAATAAAATTGAAGCTGATTTCGCTATCGACAAAATACTTTGGAATAACGTCACCATTATAGTTGTTTGCATGGGTAAACCATTCGCATTCTAAATTTTGAGCTCTTATAAAAAGATAATAACGACCTAGATTCTGTGCTTTGATGTCCAGGTAAAAGAATATATGGTAGAAGCCAATTACTAATGGAATTGAGTGGAAATGATAAAGTTGATGGATCTCTTCTAACTGATTCAAATCTTCCAAATCGCATTGAACCAATATATTATAAAGATGCTGAAATAATGGATGAAAGTAAACTAAACCTGATGGTTCTATTTTCTTTAAAAGTATTTCTATAATTGCAAAAATTGAATGGAAATGAGATTCATCTTTTCTATAGTCAACTGAATACTTTTCTAATAATAAATTTCTATATAAGACATCCATGATATTACTTAGAGGGATCTTTTGAAATACTTTTAAAAGATTTAGTTTGTCCAATATAACACTCGCACTTAAAAGATACATCTTATCCTGTTCATGTTCTAACTGTGAATTCGAGAAGCAGCATGTAATAAATAAATTAAATGAACCCCTTGGATTTGAATTATAGTCTAAGTTTGAAGTAATTTCCAATAGCTCGTGTTCTTCTGGATATGATTGTAATAGTTGATAAACTAAATGATAAAACCCAAACTTTTTAGAAAAACTTTTAAATTTGCTTTCTTTAAGGTATTCAAAAAATTCTATTACTTTTGGTAATGGCTGTGTAAATATTCCTTTAAAGTAATTAATTATAACATTTTCTTCGTCGATTAATTTCATGGTGTTGATATCACATTCTAATACTGTTTTTACTATTAAATTATAATATATTAAATCCTTTGGTAAAAATGGGAATTTAATTGAACAATATTTTGCTGCTTCTAATGATTTAATGATGGAAAAGAATCCATTTCCGCCAATTAACTTCTTATCGAATGAAATACTTGAATAACCATCTTTTTTTAAATTATAAAATTCTTTATTTCTGATAAAAAAAATATTAGTTATGTGAACTGTGCACCTACAATTAAAATAAATAATTAAATAATTACCTGAAAATAAAATCGATGTCATCTTTGGTTGTTATGGACAACTTTGTATTTATATTTGGTTCTCTGTAATAATCATTTTTTGATACTTGATGATTTGCAAAAAAGTTGTATTCATTTTTTAATTTATTTGAACCAAATGGTTTTAATATTGTTTCAACAAACCATTCATATTTTTTAAAATCCTTAAATATTAAATTTTCAATTAAAAAATTTTGGATTGGGTACTCTTTAATAGATATTACTTTTTCTAAAAGAGAAATGGGAAAATTTTGAATTAAAAATTTTGAAACCACGAGCCAACCATCATATTTGATTAAGTCTTGTGAAAAAAATTTTTTGATAAAACTGTAAATTTCAATTGGGTCTTTGCTTTTACAACTACTTAACATGGGAAACGAAGGAACATAAAACTCTATTCCTAAATGAATTAAGTAATTGAGACCTTTAAGACTGAGGGCTTGAAATGTATGTTGATATAAAAGTCTACTTGGTATATCTATAATTTTATCTAGGTCATTGAAATCGTATTGCTTTAGGTATTCTAAATATAAAAAATCATTTTTTACAATCTTCATAATCTTGTGTTTTAAACACTTTTCAATTTCTCTTTGTTCTTTTTCATCGATACCACTTTGAGACATTTCTAATATTGATTCGTTGATTTCTCTATCAATGGGTGGATCTCTTAAATTGATGCTTTCTATTTTACTTGATAACATATCGAGATAAAAGCAAAGGTCGTTGATGGTTAGCTTTTTAAAGTTGTTTATAATGTGTTGAACAAGAAAAAATGTATCAGTTAAATCTACATAACCCATTGCTACAATCTTTCTTTTTAAAACGCTCTTAGTGCGTACTTTATACAATGACGGTAAGTCTATCTTCTTTACATCTACAGAATGGACGTGGAGTTCATCATGGTCTATTATAAATTGAATTAGTTCATTTCCTTTGGCCATTATTTTGTAGTTTTTAAAAGAATTATATAGTGCAGTTTCTTTTATTTCATGATAAATTGGTTGGTTTCTCTCTTTTAGAGTATTAATTAAGAGTTGAAATATTTCGAAGGATGAACCCGATATAGCATAATCTAATGTAGATGGATAGATTGGTAATTTAAAATGATCTAAAAACAATTTCAATGATTTTAAATTATTATTTTTAGCTGAAACATAAACCATATCGACCATTGATACTTGCAACATTCTCTTCTCGTAGAGCAACTTTATTAAACCCACATCTTCGCAGTACTGAATAAATAATGATATTGACGATTTATCAAAATGGATATATTGGTCACTGATTAATTTATCTTTAAGCAAACCCCACAGTTCGTTCTCTACAATGAACGCTAAATTTTTAATCTCTCTAAACTTGTATTTACTTTTATATGAATTTATTTTATTTTCTTCTTCTATAACTTTTTCTGTTGATTCTAAATGATTTACTATTTTATCAAATAAAAATGAATTTCTAAAAACCCTCCAAAACAATAATTCGAATGAAGATATTGAATTATTATCATTATTTATATTACTAATTTTATTTTTTTTTTTATTTTTGTTTTTATTTTTATTATTATTTTTATTTTTATTTTTATTTTTATTATTATTATTTATTTTTTCAATATCTAAATAATTCTCTTCTTTATTTTTTAATAATTTTAAACCATTTATTTTATTTACTATTTCGTATAAATTATTTATTTTTGTATCCATTTTATCTTTTTTTATTTTATTTATAAAAATTTAAAAAAAATAAAATAATTATTTTTAGAAATTTAGAAAAGAAGTTAATTTTAGAATTAAATTTAATTGGGCATTTAATATTTAATATTTAATATTTACTTTTTAATATTTACTTTTTTTTTTTTAAAATTTTTTCTCTATTTATATTTATTTCTTTTTATATATTATTCTATTTTTATAAAAATTGGAAAATTAAAAATAAATGAATGGATATAAAATATAAACCATTTATATTTTTTTTAAATATTTAATATATTTATTATTATTTTTATTTATATTTATAAAATTATTTTTTTTTAAATTGTAAAAGACCACTCAAAGGTTCATGTAGTAAATAAATTTTTTTCATATGAACTTTACTTTTTTAAAAATTAAGAAAAAAAAATAACCTTTAAATTTTCAATAAATTTCAAGTTTTCAAGATATATTAAAAAAATTAAAAAAAATAAAAAAATAAAAACTATAATTCCTTTTTAAATATAAAAAATATATTTTTTTTTTTATATAATTTTATTTTTATTTTTTATTTTTATTTTTTATTTTTATATTTATTTTTATTTTATTTTATTTATATTTATTGAAAAATAAAAATAATTGTTTAAAAAAATATTATAAAAAAATTAAAAAAATTATAAAAAAAAAAAAACTTTATTTTCTTTTTTTAGAATTTGATATTGAATCTAAACTTGAATTGGAGGTTGCAGATCTTCTCTTTTTTGGTGTTGTTTTACTTTGTGTTTTTTTTGTTTTATTTGCTCTTTTTTTTGTTGGTGTGGTTCTTTTTGATACTCTTGATTCTTCATCATTTTCATTATCCTCTTCAAACTCTCCCTCATCTATTTCTTCATTATCACTTTGATTTATTTCTTCATCTACCTCCTCATTTGAAACATTTTGAATTTGGTCTTCGTTATCAATTTCCTCTTCGCTATTATTATTATTATTATTATTAATTGTTTTTTTTTTATTTTTTATAATTTGTGAAATCGCATTCGATAATCTTTTACTCTTTAATTTTTGTGGTAAAGGTAAACCATTTCTTTCAACTGATACAAAGGAATCCATGCCATAATTTTTTTTTTGATTTGAAATATTTGTTGAATCTAAAACAGCTTGGGCATAGTTTGTATCCCAATTAAATTTCTCTTTTGCAAGATGTAAGAGTGAGTCATAATCTGGACTATTCCACGAAAATGGTTCATTTGAACGATTTACATCGGGTATTAAATAAGCATTTCTAACCTGTTCTGATGGGAATGAATCATCCAATTCAATCTTTTTTTTTAATGGTTTAAATTTTTCGGCCACTCTTTTTGATACTTTTTCATCTCCATCTTTGCTGTTGATAAATTGTTTAAACTCGTTTAAATCTTTAAATTCTGATATAATTTCTACTGCATTCACTACACCAACACCCTTGATACCATTTGTATAGTCACTACCCAATAATAATGCTAAATCCAACAACTTATCTCTTGACAAACCCATTTTAGACTCCACATCCGATAGTTTAAATTTCTCTGCTCGGTGTTTATGGTTGAATATATACTTGTAAACTACTAAATTACGATCACCAAATAATAAAATATCACTATCCTCTGTAACTACCCCATCACATAATCCTAAATTTTGTAATGTTGCACATTGTGATTCTGCTTCGCTTGGTGAAGTAATAAATGGTACACCAAACATTGTTAATAATTGATGACATTCATTTAAGATTTCATTGGTAATACTAGATATTTGATTGGTTTGATTTACAATGCTTCTGTTAATTTCGACTGACTCTAATTGAAGATCCCTTTCTATTTTTTCTGATTCGACTGATGTAAAAAATGGTAATTTACTAGGTGTATTGGTTCTTTTTGTTTCCTCATTACTGATATTTAATTCTGACTCTATGGACTCTTCCTCAAATATATCATCGTCATTAAACAAGGATTTATTCTTTAGTTCTTGTCTTTCTTCTTCATCTTGTTCTTTTAATAAACTTGAAATTAACTCTTCATTTTCTTCACCAAAATAATCGACATCTATGTCTTTTGGACCTTCTTCTTCGTCAATATGTCTTTTAATTTTTTGTTGACTTGGTTCTTCATCGTCTTCAATTATAAAGCCACCTCTAAAATCTTTATATTCATCATTTTCTAAAAATTCATTTCTTATTTCTGATTTACTATTATTATTATTATTATTATTATTATTATTATTATTATTATTATTATTATTAGAATTATTATTATTATTATTATTATTATTATTATTATTATTATTATTATTATTAGAATTATTATTATTAGAATTAGAATTTTTATTTGCTGGTTTTCTTTCATCTGAATCTAAAATCTCCATATCTCTCTCTTCTTCTTTTCCGGAATCTAAATCTATTGGTTCCTCATCATCTTCGATAAAAAATCCACCCCTAACATCTTTATATTCGTCATTATCTAAAAAGCTTTCTGATTCTTTTGAATCTTGCTGTTGAATATCTTTTTCTTTATGCTCTTCCTCTTCCTCTACATTAAAACCATTGCTATCGTTATTATATTCCTGATCTAATATACTGTCAAAGTCTATTGGCTCGTCATCTTCAACCATTAAATTATTTTTATTACTATTTAGACCATTTGAAGTTTTTTCAGTTGATTTTAGATCATTATTTTTTGTATCATCAATGCTAATGTTTCCACAATTATTATTTGAATTAAAACTACCATTATTATTACCATTATTATTACTATTACTATTACTATTACTATTACTATTACTATTACTATTACTATTACTATTACTATTACTAATTTTATTTTTTGGAGTTATGGAAATTTTATTTAATAATTGATCTTTTGATTTTGGTGTTACAAATACATCTGTATAATCCAAGTCCTCGTCTTCATTATCAAACGAAAAATCAATATCATTATCATCAAAGTCATTCTGGTAATTATATTTTGGTTTTTGAGGAGTTGATTTAATGGGTGATGGTGAGGGTGATGAAAATGAAGATGAAGGTGTTAATTTGGTTCTATTTATCATTGAATTAAATTTCATTTGATTTTCATCCATTTGCGGTATAATTTGATATGTTGAGTCTAAAATAACATGGCTATTATTGAAATGTGTTTTTAAATTTAAAGGAGACTGTTTTTTAGATGATGAAAATGTTGGTTTTTTAAAATTATCATTGGTTTTATTGGTTGGGCTTGGTGAATTTAATTGAAAACCAGATTGAATTTTAGCAGATAAACTTGAAACTGGTGATTTTGTTGGTGTTGATGTTATTTGACCATTATTTGGTTGATTCTTGATTGGAGTTTTATGAAATACTATAGTTGTGTTTAAATCATTAGATCTAATTGAGGAACCTGTTTCGTCTTGAATTTTCTTTGTCAACGACTCCATTTTTCTACCAATACGACCTCTGTCTAATATGCTACCCAGTTGTTTTTTCGAAAAATCTATTGGTGTTTTTGGTGGTTGTAAAAATGTTAATTTGTCTTCAAGTTTCTTTTCCTGTTTGAAAATACTTAAAATTTCTAATTGAAGCTCCTCTGGTAATTGCTTAAACTCTTCTGAATCGACCGTATTCTTAGTAATACCATTTAACTGAATAAAACTATTAATTGATTCCGATGTAACATTTTGAATACTATCATCCTGAACTATTATATCACCTTGGTTATTATTATTATTATTATTATTATTATTATTATTATTATTATTATTATTATTATTATTATTATTATTATTATTATCAATTTCCTCATCATCTAAAAATATGCTATCATCTTTACTGTTATTATTATCGTTATTAATATTGCTATTGCTATTATCACTATTTTCTTTTTCTTTTTCTTTTTGTTTTTTTAATTGTTTTTGTTTTCTTCTTTCTTTTTCAGAATCGGACAAAGCATCTTCATCAACAATAATTTCTAGGTCACTATCAAGGTCAAATTCTAAAAATTCATATTCATCTTCACCATTTTCATCCTCTTCTATTAAATTTTCAATGGAGTCATCTAATTTCTTTAATTTCCCTTGTTTAATTTGATCTCTTATGGTTTTAATTAACAATAGTTTACGTTGATTCTTTTCTATATTTAACTCTGCTTGTTCTCTGCGCTTTCTTCTGCCCTCTATAGTTTTCTTTTTTAAATATGGTATACCGCCATCAAATACAAATATAGGTTTAACTCTTAGTGATAGTAACTTGCAAATTCTTTTAAAAAAACCCAATAAATGTGCATTTGGTATTGGGTCACCTTTTTCATTTTTTAATGCTCTAACAAAAGTATGAATCCAGATGCTTGCATCAATTGCCAATATTTTTCCTTCTAATGCATTTATATCGATTTCTGTTCCTGATTGTTGAATTAATTCCCACAATTTAGGCACACCCATTTTTAATTTTTAAAAGAATATTATTATTTTATTGGGGGGTTTTTATTATTACAATTAATATTTAAAATGGCATTATAAAAAATAATTTTTTAATTAACATTAAAATTTTTAAAATAAAAAAAAATTAAAAAAAATTAAAAAAAAATAAAAATTTTTAGTGGAAATTGGCCCATGAATTATTTTATTTTCCATATATGTAATAAAAAAAATTTTGGGGGTTAATTATATATTGATTAAAAATAAAAAAAATAAAAAACTAAAAATAGTGAAGAATTGAAAACGAAAATTAATTTAATTTATATATATATTTAAAATAATTTATTCAGATTTTGGTTGTGTTTGTTGTTGTTGCTGTTGTTGTTGTAAAATTTGTTGTTTTAAAGCTCTAATTTGTTCTAAACGTTGTTTTGAATTTTGTTCTTTTTCTTTTAAACTTAATTGTTCCATACGAGCAGCTTCTGGAGTTGTTGAATGATGGAATTGAGTACGTGTATAGGCATCACCTTTATTATTACTATTATTACTGTGTTCTCTTTCTAAATTTATAATCTTCTTTTTCTTTTTCTTTGCATCTTTAGTAAGAGCTCTAACATTATCTTGATAGTTGAGAGCAGCTTCATTGTCTTTATTATAATCATATGTAACTTTTTTGCCGGTGGCAGTCATGGTATTGTCACCATCGAAACTACCTGTAACAAAATTGGCAGTTGATGACGATGAGGTTGTGGAGGTAGTTGTTGTGGTGGTCATAGTTTCAGTGGCGTTACTATCTTCATCCTGATTAATATTTTTACCGCCTTTAATAGTTTTTCTTTGGAATTTTACAGCATCGAAACCTGGTGGTGGATGACAATATAATAATTTACCATTAACAAAATCTTTTAATACAATACGAGCTGCTCTTGATTGATCTGGTGCACCATGTACAGTTCTAAAACCTCTCATATAACCATATGCAGAAAGGAATTCAGCGGCAGTTGGGGCTCTATCTTGTGGCTCGTGTTCTTTTGGTTTTGGAATACCAATGGAATAAAATTCTTCTAAATGGGTTCTTGGTAAACGTTCACAAATTAAATCTACTGGTGAAATGAAATCACGGAGTTGATCAATTGGTAAAAGACCATTACAGACAAGATCGGCCTTTGATGTAGAAAGAGTTGGGAATACTAAACCTGGACAATCTAAAAGTACGATTTCTTCATCGAGAATAATAGTTTGAACATATTTGGTTTTACCTGGAGTTGGAGCTACTGCGACTTTCTTTTCACCATATAAAACATTGATTGTACTTGATTTACCAACATTTGGATAACCAGCTAAACCAACGACAACACGATTATTGTAACGATTATCTTGGAGTGGTTTTGGTTGAAGTTTGAGGAACTCTTCTAAAATTTCTTCACGATCGAAAATTTTAATCTTTCTATCTTCTTCAGATTCGTTTTGTTGTTCTAAAAGCTCTTTTCTTTTTCTTTCTTCCATCTCTACAATCTCTGGGTCGATTGAGCCTTCTTCAATAAGACGATTTAATTGTTTTTGCTTTTCAATACGAACTTGTTCTTTATGAGCAGAGAAAAATCTAAAATTAACTCCTTCACTTTCAAAATATTTAGCCCATTTCTTTCTTTGTAACTTGGTTAAGAGATCGGCTTTATTTACTAATAAAAGATTGACTTTATTTGGATTGATTTCTTTAACATATTTCTCTAAATCTGGACATCTAAATAATAATGGATTTCTGCAATCTACAATTTGTACTAAAAGATCTGAACGTTCTGCAACACGCCATAATTGTTTCCATACTTCGGCATTCTTTTCAAATGGTGTGACTAATAAACCTTGTTCTTCTTCTAATTTTGCAATACCCTTTCTCCAATGATAAAATACCTCTTTTTCTAATTCTAAAAGTTCTTCTGTGGTTGTATTTTCATTCCATGATGGTCTACGAGGAATTGTTAAACTATTCCAAAATAATCTATGTTTTTCCATAAGTTTTTGATGGTCTAATGTTTTTTGTTCCTTTTCTTCTTTTGATAAAACTGTTGATGATGTTTTAGTAATAACAACGACATTTTGTTTTTCACTTTCAAATACTTTTTGTTCAAGACTGGTAATTTCTAAAAAATTCTCTAAATTATTACCTATATCTGTATTTGAATATAACTTTCTTCTTTCTTCTTTTGGATCAATATCTGTTGTAAACATCTAAAAAAATATTTAAATAAAAAAATTATTAAAATTTTATTTTTTTTCTTCTTTATAAATGTGTGTGTATTTAATACTTACACCAATGGTTTGTTCATTGAAAGTTCTACCTAATCTCTTATTTCTAGATTTAATTAAGGTATCTCCTAAATTTGATTTCTTTTTAGTCATTTTTTATAATAAATTTTTATTTAAATATATAAATATAAATAAAAAAAAAAATAAAAGTAAAAATATAACAATTTTTTTAAAAATAATAATTTATTCTTTCGTTTTTTTAAATCCAAAAAAAAAAAAAAAAAAATTTTAAAAAAAAAAATTAAAAAAATTAAAAAAAAAAAAAATTTTATTTTTTAATAAATAAAATTTTAATTCTTTTTTTGTTATTCTTTATTCTTTTAAATTCTTTATTTATTTATTTCTTTTTTTTTTCTCTTTTTGATTTTATTTATTTAATATCATTAAATTTAAATTTGATTACTTTTTTTATTATCATTTAGATTTTTAATTTTTAAAAAATGAACAAAATCGGTTAATCAATACAAATAAAAATAATTATGTTATTATTATTTGTTTATATACATATATATATATAATTTTTGTTTAATATGTTTTCAAAGAAATATTGGAAATAATTATTTTAAATAAAAAAATTAAAAAAAATGAAATTAATTTTTTTTTTTATTTTTTTTTATTTTTTTTTTCTTTTGTGATTTTTAAAAAATCATATATTATATCAACAACACACGTATTAATTTGTTTTTCTTAATTATTTTTAAATAATTAAGTTGGTGTAATCATTAATTTATACCTTTTCATTTTTATATTTAAAATATTTTAAATTTACATTTTTCTTTTCATTATTTTATAAACTAAAAATAATATTTTACAAATTAATTAAAAAATTATAAAAATTATAAAAATATAATAAAATGGCATTACCCATATCAACCTCCATAACTAATCCATCACCAACAGTTATAATAATCGCATCAGTTTTAGTATTATTTGGAATAGTTGCTTTTATACCAGAGAGTGAAGATATATATAGCGTATATAGTCTAGATGATGATGATAATAACATTAACAATAAAAATAAAAATAAAAGGAGAAATAATAATATAAATCATAATAACAATAACAACAACAATAATAATAATATAAATAATAATAATAATAATAATAATCTAAACTATAGTTCAAATAATATAAATGATATAAATGATAACAATAGCAATACAAATGCTTATAATAATAAAATTACTTTTTTTAATAGATCAAAAAAATATTTTCTTTTTTTTCAACAAATAAAGATATTGTTAATAATGACAATATCGAATTAAATAAAAATATTGAAGATGCTTTCGATTCATATGAAGATTTTTCATCATCCTCAATTTCATCATCAACATCATCAATCTCTACACACAACAAGATGAATACTGAAAGACA